TATAAAAGACTGAGTGAAATGTATGATCCTTGAGCAAGAAAAAAAAGTGAGCATAATACTGATTAGTTGAATGAAAGAAGCTTGACAGTAGCTTTCTTTGAGACAATAGATAAATTTTTAATCTGGAGTGTCAGTGGAGTTGTCTCCTGCTTTGAAACTATCATTTACATACTCTCACACTGTTCTGTACTGAGAGACCTTAGACCGTGTATCTCAATGGATCAGGTGCTTTGATGTGTGTTTTTGGTTCCTTCCTATTTTGCAGTCCATTGGCCAAGTCCACAAACAGTTTTAAGTTTCTTGAGAGTAGAAACCATAGCTGGTACACAGTGGGATCCAGCAGAGGGCCCTGAATATAGAGGCACTTTTGTTTGTGGGCAGACAAAAGGAGCTGCCTGCATCCCATCATGACCACAGAAGGACCAATTCCTGATGGCTTGAGTTTCAGCGGCAGCAGCAATTATGTGCAGGATTAACATCCATGAATCAGAACAGAGGAAGATCAAATAGGAACATGTGCTGAGCCCGAGAAACAGCACATGGAAATGGATCCTATGTGCCAAACTGGGGCGAGGGAGGTGGTAGAGAATTAGATCTGGATGGAAATGGTGGTGGCGAGCAGTGTTTCCAGGGCCTGCTGGCGGAGGATAGGATCTCTTTTCTGCGTATTAAATGTGTCATCTCCCCCAGTACAAGCAGTGAATTGATACACTGTGGCATTACGCTTGGTATCTTTTTTTGTCTTTTTGAGACCAGGTCTCGTTGTGCAGTTCAGGCTGGACTTGAGCTCACTTTGTAGCCTAAGCTGGTCTCGAACTCCCAATGATCCTCCTGCCTCAGCCTCCAGAGTGCTGGGATTATAGGCATGAGCCACCACACCCAACTGTGGCATTACACTTAATATCAAATCTGGCAAATGTCTCAGTTACTTTTTTCATTGCTGGGACAAAATACGGAACACCCAAAGTTAAAGGAAAAAAGGTTTATTTAGCTCACATTTTGTAAAGGTTTCAGTTCAAAATTGGCAGCTCTAAGGCAGGATGGTGCAGCAAAGAGGTAACAGTTCATGGCATTGGAAGACACCAGAGGCAACAAAAGAGACAAGCCTCATACTGGATGCAGGCTATCTGCCCTAGGGCAGTGTAGCACTCACAGCCTTACTCCCAGTATTTGACCTTTAATCAATCACAAACTCTAGATTCAGCTATCTCTGAAAAGCTCCCCACCCACGCCCCACCCCTGCCATGACGCATGAGGCTTTTAGGAGGTGACATCAGATACAAGCCATAACAGCTGAGAACCAAATAAAATCATTTTACAAAGATCTGTTTTCCTTGCAGGCCACAGTGCATATCTTTCAGTACAGCTCCAAAGAATTACTGGAAAAAATGCTGGCTAGTAAATTACAAAATCTGTCCTATTATGCCCCAAAGATGCATTTTTTTTTCTTGGATAACTAGGGCTGTTTCCTATGCAATGATTAGGAGCTAGCCCGCACTTTTACACTTTTAAATTGATGTCCACGCATTCAGCCCAAGAGTGGAGGGTTGGTTGTTTTGTTTTGTTTTGTTTGGTGGTGGTGGTAGTGGTGGGAGCTGTTTTGTTTTTCCATACTGGGGATTGAATCTAGAGGCATAATCTATCACTGCCTAGACTGGCCTCAAACTTGCAGTCCTCCTGCCTCAGCCTCCTAAGTAGCTGGGATTGCAGACATATACCACAATACAGTACTTGGCTGCAACCAGATCATTTCATTGCTCTAATTTGAGGTCAAGTTGTATGTCAGTGAATAACACGGTGCTAATGATCCCCAGATTGTGGGATCATCTGCTAGACTTCATTTTTATACCCGTGACTCTCAGTAATTTTCCCACTCTGAGGATAGTAATTTTTTCTGCACCTGAGAGGTCTGTCACCCTTCAGTTAAGCCCTTGAAGGCAGTCACACCTAGGGTCACTGGGGAATGCACCTTATGATCTCTTCCTACCCTAAAGGTTTCTCTGGAATGCTGGCTCTATTCATAGGGAAAGGAAACTATTATTCATTGAAAGCATTGCCCATGCCAGGCGCTTTATAGGCATGTTATTAAATCCTCTTCATGCCAGGAGTATAATTATCCACACTAACGCTGCACACTAGCCTCTGAAAGCTGCTTGCTGGGGACCACCCAGAGCCATAGGAAAACCCATGTTTGCCAGACTCCAAAGCTCCTCTCCCCCAGCAGTGTGTTGGTGATTGATAGCTGAGACCACCTTGTATTTGTTTGGAAGCACTTAAATGAGAGGGTATCACAATACAAAACATCTTTTCCCTTGTTGGAGAGGGGGTCTTAAAAATATATTTTAAAAGAACAAATGCTTATGCTATGTGTGCATGCTAAATTCAGCTACGACTGTAAGTGTTGCCTGAGATGGGGGCTGCAACCCAGAGACCCCATGGACCTACGAGAAATCACTCACAAGTCTCTAAATGGGTTCTCGAAGCTGGGGTTCTTTCATTACCACACTTAACCTGGGGCCTAGCTGAAAGGGAAACTACCTAAAGTTGTCCTATATTCTGATTCCCCTTACATTCAGAACAGGGACAACACACAAGGATGATGCATTCCAAATCACAAATACACATGAGGAAAAATGAAACCCACAGAAAGGGACAGCCCTCGTTTGCTTTCTCTTGCTTATAATACAAACGTTCAGGTCATGGGAACTCTGTCTTGCATTTCTATTTTTTATGGCATTTGCCAGAAAAACTGGCAGTCACATCATAACTTCCGTTAGTAAGTCTGGAAGGTCTTATAACCTTTGCAAACCCTGTTTAATTTTCTGAGGAGCTGGGGAAGGAGTCCACAGCTCTGCACACGCTAGGCAACTGCTCTACCACTAGACTACACACTTAATTTTTTTTTTTCCTGGTCTTTTTGAGACAGGGTCTTGCTGTGCAGTTCAGGCTGGCCTTGAGCTCATTTTGTTGCCTAGGCTGGTCTTGAATTCACAATAATCCTCCTGCCTCAGTCTCCCAGAGTGCTGGATTACAGGCATGTGTTATCATGCCCTACTAGCATCTTCAATAAGTACTGATTACTTCTGTTTCTGCCTCTCTACCTACCCCCACCCCCTCAACCCCTGGGCTAGGGACTGAACCCAGGACTTTGTGCATATTCGACAAATGCCCTAGCACTGACCACTGTCTCTGTTCCTCTCCTTTTCACTCTTGATTCCCTTTCTCCTGCTTTTCTTTTCAATAAACACGTAACACTCAGTATTCTCCAACATACTGTATGATTTGTTCGTACAGATTGTCTGCTTTACTCCATAGACTCCACAAGGTCAGTGCTAAGTTTTGAATGCTTATGCAGCTCAAGCCTCCAGAACAGGTACTGGCACAGTTAGAGCTCAATAAATACTTGTAGACAGAATGGAGAGGTCACTCTTAGTGCCCCCACAGTCTCTGCTGCCTACCCTGTGGTATCCCTAGGATCACAGAGACATAGAACTGGTGGAAAGCAGGAATTCTTATCCATCTCTGGCTTTTCAGAGCACAAGATACACAATAGGTCCTCAGAGAATGTACTGTCCAGGGTACTCTCCGGTGAAGAATCTGAAAATTTCTTGCTGGTGTAGAAAGCTGAAAAGAGAGGGGCTCAAGCTGATGCTTTTAGCATCATGTTGTTTGATGCTATCTTGTTATATACTTGACATGGATCCCAGACACAGGTCCATCCACAGAGCTTCCTTGGCTTTTCTCCCCTAGCAGGCAGAGCGATGTGTCCCTAAAGATGTCTATTTTCTAAGCCCAGGAGCCTGTGGGGTTCTCTTCCACCTGGTAAAAGGGAACCTGCAGATGGGGACACCACCTTGGATTATCCAGGTGCGGCCAGCCCAATCACAAGGGTGTAAAAAGGCAAAGAAGGAGGCAGACAAGTGAGAAGAAACAAGGATGCTAGAAGCAGGGTCTGAGAGACATATCGAGAAAGGCAGGACAAACCACTGTTGGCTCAGAAGACTTGGGTAGGGCAGAGGATGACTCAAGAAATGTAGGCAGCTTCTAAAAGCCCCTAAAGGCAACAGACCAGATGTTTTCCTAGAGGTTCCTGAAGGGGCCGGCCCTACTGGTACCTTGACTTCAGTCAAGTGACATCCACTTAAAGACCAGGGACCACTAGAGCTGTAAATTAGTGGTAAGTCACTGTATTTGTTAGTACCCATAGCCACCCACAATTCCATAGTGTTTTCCCTTGTACTGACAGAGTGACCTTCAGCTTCTGATGGCTTCACAATGCTCTGAAGGGCCTGGCCTGCACTTGAATCACTCCCCACATGCCCATGGCTCCAGTCAGCCAGCCTGCTTTTCAGGACCATCTGACTTAATTTTTTCTTCACATATCCGCCACTGGGATCTCCTGCTCATTATTCAGATCCTACACCAAGGTTCCATGAGACACCTGTAAGAAGTACTTACAGGGTTTGTTCCTCAGAGAGGGCAGTTAAAAAAAAAAAAAAGTACTTAGGGGTCTTAGGCACTATTTGCAGGCTGAAAAACCAACAAAATAGTAGGGCCTCCACTATTCTGTGGAGGGCAGGGAAGGAAGATCACAAATAACTACCTAGCCCATTAGCAAGGTCATTTCCCACAGTGCATGCATTTTACCTCCATTCCCAGATCATGGGGACAATGGGCAATCCTGTGCCATGGAGACTGAATAGGATGCTCAACTAACGAGCAGCCCCTTAGATGTGCTGTCATATGACTCTCCAAGAAAAGGTTTTGAGCTGGGACCTGCGTGATAAGCAGTCTCTGGCCCCTTTCTCAAAGAAGCCTCCTTCCCATGCCTCAGTGCTCCTTAACACTTCTCTGCTATATGCATATCTAGTATTATAGACTAAAATGTGTCCTCTAAAATCCTTTTGTTGAAGCCCTAACCCCCAACATGACTAATATTCGGAGACAGGGTCTTTTAGGAATTAATTTGTTGTAGAATTCAAGAGACTGGAGAGACCACAGGAGGTTCAAGAGGATTTATTTTGGTTTAGGTAAACACTGGCCCAGGGGATTCATGTCCCAAAGGCTGGGTGCTGAACAAAGGAAGGGTTCTCGTTTTATACATGTGCCAAAGGGGTGGAACTTGTAGGTGGACAAGCAAATTTACAGAAGCAGACAGTTTTGCAACTTAGTATTTCTAGATGGCCTTATTCTGGGAAAAGCAGGATGTTACAAGAACAGATTATGAATCTTTACTAATAGGAACAAGTTACTAATTGTATTTGTAACAACAGTCATATAGGTAACCGGAAGTCTGAAGGGAATGGTTAGGTTCTGGGAAACTTGTTCATTTTTTTTTTTAAAAAGTCCTGCTTCTTTAGGGCACAATGAAGGCACAAGGGGTGGAGCCCTAAACTAATACGATTGTTATTATGAAAGGAAGAGACACAAAAGATTCAGAAAAAATGCTAAAGAGGAAAGAGGCCACCCTGTAGCATCCTGATCTTAGATTTCTTCTAGCTTCGAGGTCTGGCGTGAGGGTGCTAGTCTATAGCCCAACACACAGTTCAAGTCCAGTCTGGTCAACTTGCCCAGGTCCTGTCTCAAAAACAAACAAAAAATCGGGGCTGGGGTGTTTTCTATGCAAAGAAGGCAACCCTAAGCTAAATTCAATTCTGAGTAACCCAAGAGTGACCCGACTTCCCACATCTAGATGCAATCTCTGGTATTTTGTCAGGGAACCAGGAATAGATAACACACCTAGTTACTATCACAAGAGCCACCTACCTAGACTCCCTGCTTATCCCTTCTACAGCCTGCTCTCCTGCATAGCAGCCTGAGAACTTTAGACCTTAGAGCAGCCATTCCACACGGAAGCATTCCCAGCCGCTCAGACCTTGACCTCTCCGCTTGTAAAATCACCATTCTGTCTCTGTGCCCTAGACACCAAACTTAGGCCTCGGGGCTTTTTGCATTGCTCCTCCCACTGCCTGGGGCAAGCCCTGCCAGCCTGTTTTCTTCAGAACGACTGCCCCTTTTCAGCGGCCTTCCCCAACTGCTGCCCTTTCCCGTAGCCCGCCCGCCCGGCCACGCCCCCTGCCCTAGTTTCTTAGGTCTTCCTGGGCTCGGTGGTGCGCCCTCCCGCTTCCATCCCATGAAGCGGCGCCTGTGGCCCACGGAGCCCTGGCACCTGGCCAATGCAAACACAGACACAGGCAGCAGCAGCCAAGGCCAGCCGACCCAGCTAGACCTAGGTTGTCTTTGGACCCTGTGCCCCAGCTTTTCGTCTGTAAGGCCCCAGCCCATCCAGGGAATCCCGAGGGCTCAGAGGGGCGCACGGGATGCGGCGCCGCGGGACACCCGGCCTCGCGGAGGTTCGAGGTCCGTACGTGCCACCTGGCGCGTTGGTGCCCGGGATCCACAAAGCTGCTCTAGGCGTCTCCAGTGCAAGCGTTCTACCGCTCGCTCACCCCGTCGCCAGGCGCCGTCACCACTTCCGCCACTCCGCGGCCCAACGTGGCGCCGCCGCCCCCGGCCGGACGCTCGCCCAGCAACCAATGGCGGCGCGCCCTGGGGCGTCCGCACGGCCTCCCGCCGCCAGAGGGCGCTGTCGCGGACGCCGCCCAGCCGAGGCGCCTTTGCCGGTGGCAGATCATAACTGCGAGCGAGCGCCGGGCCCCGCCGCCGTCTCCGCGCCCCGCCGCCGTGTCCCGCCGCCGCGTCCCGCCGCCGCGCCCCGCAGGTAGGGAGGTGGGCGTCTCGGGGGAGGGTCTCGTCCAGCCCCGCGCCGCTGTCTCCGCCTCGAGCTCTCGCGCGGCCGCTCGCGGACGCCGGCGGGGGGCGGGGGCGTCGAGGCGCGGGCACGCGCGGAGCCCCCTCCCACCCGGGAGCGCGACCCAGTCCGCGCGTTCGTCTGTTGGCGAGCGGTCTCATTTTTGGTGATTGCTCTGAAACATTTTTTATTTTTTGGTTATCCCTGTGTGTGCTGGTGAAAGCGGGCGCCCCGGATTAAGTCTGGGGTGTTGGCGGCGGGAGGTGCTCGCCTCGGGCGAATCCCTCCTTGTTTCGCGCGGGGCGGTGGGTGACCGCTGGTTTCCGGTCCCTGCGCCGCTGGGGTGACTCAGTTTTAGGTTTCTGCACCCCACCCTCTGAAGATCTGTCAGTTCTCATTAACGGGAGCTTCCGGTTAGGGGGTGGTCATCGCAGGGGCGTGGCCAGGTTGGCGGGCCTGGCCTGGGGGGGCGGGGATTGTCTGCGTCCTGATTGGGTGAGCTTATCAGTGTCGGGCATTTTCCGGTCGGCCCCCAACCCCGGCTCTCTAGTTGAAAGAGGGGTCACAGGTTAGGTTTTTCTTCTTCCTTTATCTCTATCTTTTGTAAGTACTGGGAATCGAACCCAGGGCGTTTTCACTGAGCTGTATCTCTTAAGTCCTAGTTTTTAAACAGACTTGCTCAATTGCGAAGGCTGGGCTCAAACTTGGGGTCCTGCTGCCTCAGCCTCCCAGAGTATTTGGTTTTCATTTGTGAGCCTCCACGCCTATCCATGTTACATATTTAAAAAGCAGGGGTCAGCTCACACTGGATCTGCGTTGTCCACGAAGAAGGCCAGTGGCCACGTGTGACTACCGACCACTTGAATGTGGCTAGGACGAATGGTGATGTCGTCCTGGTGTGATGTTAAAGTCTGGCTTTAAAAACAGCCGGAGAAAAACGAACTTCAGAAAAGATATCAGAAAAACCACGTAAACATCTGATTGATAATCCTGTATACTATACTTGGTATGTGTTGAAACGACAATATTGTGGACCTATTGGATTGAAATATAAAATCAGAATTAATGTCAGCAATCTCGAAGTGCTTTCGTAGTAAGGCTACTTGACAGTTTAACACGGCTTGTGTGGCTGGCGGTGTATTTCTGTCGGGACAGCTCTCAACTGGCGCATCCGAATGGAGGAGGGGCCGAGCCTCTGTCTGCCATCTGCTAGCCTTTTCCTGCTTCTCTGAAAGCAGGCCGGTGGCTTCCTTCTCTGGAGGCTCTCAGGGAATCTGCTGCTTTTTCTCTCACCCACATTTGAACTGAAGAGCTGAATTGCTCAGTGGGGGTCTTGACCCAATTTGCAAAATGATGCAAGTTAAGGGACACAATTTTCCTTCTTGAGTAATTTCCCCCTTTATCTGCTGTGTGTTGCAGTCTGAGACTGGTTGGACAAGATCCAGCTTAGGATCAGGTCTTGTTACTGAGGATGAATGCTATCCAGCAAAGAGGCCATTGATTTTTTGCTATCCCAATGTCCTGGAGAAATTCTGCCCTGGTCTATGTTGCTGTAACTTTAGGTTTCTAGTTACACTCTGACATCTTCATTCTCATTCTTCCAATTCTGTCGGTTTTTGTCGGTAAGATTGTTGGTTTGACAGCCACATGGCCCCACAAGTCTTACTTTTGACAAATTTAAAATCTGCTGATTCAAGTGGGTTAAATGTATGTTTTACGTGGACGAAACCAATTCTGATAGAATTTCTCAACTCTAGGAAGGTTTTGAACATTCTGATAATGGAATAGAACAAAGAACCATGTCTGTAATCTGTTGCCACAAATACTCAGGAATGAGCTTTCTAGATACAGTAACTTGTCTTCTACAAATACTCAGGAATGAGCTTTCTAGATACAGTAACTTGTCTTCTACAAATACTCAGGAATGAGCTTTCTAGATACAGTAACTTGTCTTCTACATAATCCCTCTCTGTCTCACTTTTTTGTTGTATTGGGGATTGTATTGAGTTAAATCTCCGGCCCTTTTTATTTTCTGAGACAGGGTCTCTTAAATTGCCTAGGTTAGACTGGAATTTGGAATCCTCCTGCCTCAGCCTCCCAGAATTACCATATGAACTACCCTGCTGAACTGTAAAGAATATCTTAAAGTGTTTTGTTTGAGTGAAAATGTTTTCTCCAGAATCTTATTAGTGAACTTTGTTTTCTTTAAAGTCTGAAATGTTTACAAATCAAGAGAAAACTTTAGAAAACATTCTTTAAGGCAGGGAGAAATATTAAACGATTAACACAGTTTTTAAATTAATGCTAGTGATAATGTGTCTGTTTTAATTCTTTTTCTGTGCCACACATAATTTATTGTGGCAATAGTCCTGATGTAAAGAAATGAGGTTACCTGTCTCTAGCAGTTGCCCCAACAAGAAGTTTGCTTTTTAATTTAATGTTTAGCATTGTGTTGTTTACTTAATTAGTGCTGGTTAATTTCATGTACCTCATGAAGCTTCAGGAATTTGGAATGGAATGTAAGAGTGGCAGAAAATAGAAAAACTTGAAGTTTATATTATATGAAAAGACCTAAATTTGGTTTCTTTTTCTTTCTTTCTTTCTTTTTTTTTTTAATTGGTACTGGGGATTGAACTCACGACCCTGCACTTGCAAAGCAGGCACTTACACCACTGAGCTAAATCCCCAGCCCCAAGACCTAAATTTGGAACAACGTGTTAGTTAACCTGGCACATTTGGTGAGAAGGAGAGTGTGGGTTGGGGTCAGGTGTCAGCCATGTCTGGTGGCAAGATCTCACCTGGTCCTGGGCACATGAGTGAGCCCAGAGAAATTGTGGATTACAAGGACTTGCTGTGAAGTGAGAATTTTCTGTTGAATCCTCCTATGGAGGGTTTGTGGGCACAGTTCCCCTGAGCTGCGTGATTCCCAGAGAGCCATGTAGTGAGGAGGCTCTGATGGATGCTTTATCTTGTGGCATCTGAAATCCACCCGCAGTGTCAGAGTGAGCCGTTCCTAGGCATGCAAAACATCAGAATACTTTCCTGAGGCTGTTTGACACAGCCTCTATCTTTTTATAAAAGGAGGACACTTTCTTGTAGAGTGTCTGCAGTTTTGGGGTGGTAGAATAGCTCGACAATGGTTCCCCGCCAGAGCTGGCAGCCTGCTCAAGATGGGCATGGTGTCCCAGGGCTCTGCTGAGTATTTTAAGAGTCAGTGCATTCTACCTGTTGCAAGAAAAGGTTGACAGTAATCCTACTGTAATGATGTTTTAGTTAGTTTAAACCCTAACTATAGCCTCCACGTGCAGATAGAAGTGAACATAGATGGTAATGTAGTTTTTGACTCCAAACTCTGGGATCCCTTTTTAGGCAAAAATACAAACACTGTGCCTGAGGACCTGTGGTGCTGGGTCCTTTGTTAATGCCTTTTAGTTAGGACTGCTTTATGTAAAATATTTCTATCTAAACACATACTATTCTGGATGGAACATGGACATACATTTCCCTAGAGTTTGATCCTGATTCTGTGTCCACTGTATTCCTCCTGGGAAAGTGCTTAAAGTTGCTTTAAATGACATCCCTTGAGCATGACGTTGTGCACACTCCTGTGGGTGTGTTCTGTTTCTCCTGAATGGCCATGAAGTGCCCATTTGTCTGTCAGAACACCGCCCAGGTCACCTGAGACGGGAGCCGCCCTGGAGAACTGCAGCAGTTAAGTGCTCATGCTTGGGGCCAGCCTGTCTGGCTTTGAAATTCAGCGCTGCCACTTCCTAGCTGTGTGGTCCTGGGCAGGGATGTCATTTCTGTGTTTGCTCATAGCACCTATCTCTTAGGGTTATCAGCTTTAAATGTCTTAATACACCCAAAGCACTTAGCGTAGCACATAGCATGAGGCAAATGTCAGCTACTATTTCTCAGTATGTCACAGTCACATTCAGTTGCTGTCTGTGCTCTGATGGTTGGAGCTAGCTTCTAAGGTTACCCTTTATGGCTAAAGCTCTTGGATATGAATATATTTGTCTCTTTTACTGGCATTGTACAAGACATTAGGACAGTGAGTGTCACCTAACAGGCACTGACTAAACCTTTAAGGAATTATAAGGAACATCTACCATCCCTTTTTTCCTTATTTCCATTTGAGGAACAGATTTTAGGTTCTGACCTAGGAGGAGATGTACCAGTTTACAACAGTTTAGTTAATTTAATGAAATTAACTTCTGTTTCACTGAGTTTCTTGCTTAACAGTGTGTCTTCATAGCTAGCATGGTGGCACATGCCTGTAATCCCAGCACTCTTTAAAAAAAAAAAAAAAAAATCCCAGCACACCAAGCACTTGGGAGACTGGGACAGGAAGACCCTGAGCTTGAGCCTGGTCTCGGATTACAAAGTAAGTTTCAGGCCAACTTGAACTATTCAGGATCCTGTCTCAAACCACACCCCAATAAAAATAATAAAATATTTGCTGTGGAAAAAGTTCTGTAATTGTGTTGAGGATGTAGCTCAGTGTTAAGAGTGTTTGCTTAGCATGCAAGAGACCCTGCTTAAACCTAAGCTAAATCAAATGATTGATAACAAATTTGGGGAAATACTAATGTAACACCTTAGTATGGGTCTTATATGTTCCCTTAAAATATAAAGAGCTTTCATAAATAAGGAAATGTTCAACCTCATTGATTAAATGGCCACAGTCATGAAACGATTCACACAGAGTAAGGTACCAGTGCCTTACTCTGGAAAGGTACTCAGCCTTACTGATGGTGGAGGAAATCAGACCTGACCCTTCTTCTAGCTACTTACCTCCCTAACCAACAGAGGTGAACACAATTGCTAATTCATTGGTTGAATGTGGAACCAGAGCCCTCATGCATTGTTTTGTTTTTGAGACCCGGAACAATTTGGGTGATCCTTCTGCCTCAACCTCTGGAGTGCGCTATTATTGCAAATGTGCGCCATCATGCCCAGCCTCATCCACTGTTAGATGGTGTTGTGTCATTTGGTATACCTTAGCAATAGCTGGCAAAATAAATGTGTGCCCTCTGTCTTACAGAGATTCTTTAAAGAGACCCTTACATAGGGGCTGGGGATTTAGCTCAGCGGCATAAAGGCCTGCCTTGCAAGCAGGCAGTCGTGAGTTCGATTCTTGGTACCGATAAAAACGAAAAAAAGACCAAAAAAAAAAAAAAAGAGACCCTTACATATACCATGAAATGCCCTGTGTGTGGTGAACTGTCATAGCTGCAAACAAGTAAAACATCTTCCAGGAAACCTGAAACTTTAAGTTATGGCACAACTGTGTCCTGGAATACTTTCTGTGTTTTGTACTGATGTGGAATAACCCTTCACTGCAAAAAGTGAAGTACAGAACATGCTAACAGCCCTGGTTTATAAAAAAAAAAAAAAAAGTGTGCATAGAAGAGTTCTAATTCTTTAAGATAATTACAGCCTCACAGGAAATTATAGAAGTAGTGCATAGAGGCCATGACCCTTCACCCTGCTTCCCTATTGGTGACAGATAACTGTAGTTCACATTGTAACTAGGAAGTTGCCTTTAGTGTAACACTACTAACCAAATTACAGGCCTACACTTATTTTTTTCCCCTGTACTGGCATTGAACCCAAAGTTTGCTGGGCTACATCCAGTTTGTTTTTTTAATGAGTCAGGGTCTCCCTGAGTTGCCCAGGCTGGCTCCCAACTTGTAGTCCTCTTGCCTCAGCCTCCAGAATAACTAGGATTAAAGGTATCCATATGCATTTGTCACCATCACTCATTTGTGCTTTATGGGTATGCAGTTCTGTGCAGTTTTATTTACATGCACATGGGTTCATGTACCTGGCACCACAATCAAGATACAGAGGACCAGGGATACTGCTCAGTGTCGTAGCACCTGCCTGGCAAATGTGAGGTCCTGAGTTTGATTCCTGGTACAAAAAAAAAAAAAGATACAGAGTTCTATAAAATATCTTTGCAGGATACATAACTGCCCTTTAGGACAAATAGGGTGGCTGGATATGACAGGGTTGGGAAGGAGACATTCCTTTTCACTGTCATAATACAGTACTTTTTAAACATTTGAGATGTCTTGGTGGCATCCAGGTGGAACTCTCAGATGGGCAGAGCATGTGTCTCCAGCTCCCTGCAGAGCTCTGTCAGGGTCTCAGGTGGAGGTCACTGACACCCTGCCAGTGCAGGAGGGCCTCCAGAGGGGTCCACTAGAACCTCTAGAGCTCCTGCATTTCTGTAAGACCAGGGAGCTTCAGGCTGTGAAGAGACAGGGGTTTGTGAGTAGGGGCAAACCTGGCCAGGGTTGTGACAGGAAGGTGACAGCAGAGGGTTTCAAGGAAGAGTGGACACTGTCAAGTATCACTGGGTTTGAGGGAGAAATGACAGTTGGATTAACTTTATAAGATTTTCCTCACTTTAAAATTGTACAGGATCCAAGGTGAGCCAGGCATGGTGGTGCATGTCTATAATCCCAGCATTCAGAGGCCGAGGCTAGCCTGGGCTACATAGTGAGTTCAAGGCCAGACCGAATGACATAGCAAGACCCTGTCTCAAAAAAAAAAAAAAAAAAAAAAAAAAAGCGCAGGAGTCAAAAATAAGCTGGACCTTGGGGATACAGCTCTTAAGAGTGCTTATTTAGCATTCTCTCAAGGCCCTGGGTTTGAACCCTGGCACTGCAAAATAAACACAAAAATAAGGTGGAAAATATTTTTAATTCTTTCTGTTCTGAAAAAAAAAGATGAGAGGGTTTATTTTACAAATAAAATTAACCTGTGGTGGAAAAAAAATCAGCACAGTGGCTGCCTGGGGTGGGAGTGAGACTGGTAACTCTGGGGAGGTGGGTGATATTCAAGATCTCAATTACAGGAGTCACTCAGTTGTACATTTGGGGGTGCCCTTGGTGGTAGAGCACTTGCTGAGCTCTCGTCAGGCTACAGGTTTTGATTCCTAGTACCACAGATTCACACATTTTACTTTAGAGGGGGAGAGGTGGCACATTGTGAGATACTTCGAAACAGATTATAATTGATGTCTGCAACTGCCTTTGACATTTATCAAAACAATAAAGTGGACTGGTAGGACAGCAGGATAAAGACTAGTGGAAGATAAATATCAGCAAATGGATACAGAATATGGATAGTGTATGGGAACATGTTCATTATAAGAACAGGTTACTGTTTATTTGAAAATTTTCATTAAGACTTGGGGAAATTTTAAACAATTAACTGAGCTTGAAATACTGTCATACTATTAAAATATTAAAATATTACTTGACATTATATTGCAGAAATTGATACATGGATAGAAGGGATGTATTTGTTACTTCTGAAAACATCTGTATCTTATTTCTAATGATTTAGTTGAGTTGTCAGCTTTTTGTCCCATGCCATTTGTAAGAGGTTGAGGTTAGAAGTTTTCAAGCAGTTTCTGAGGAAATAACTTTAAGGCTATTAGCTCCGTGGTTTAGTTTATGCAGGACTCTCTTCTTAGCCAGCAGATTTGCTATGACTGAACCCCAGACTGAACTCTACTTCAGCTTGTCAGAGCTGGGGGAGGAGGCATCATTGGCTGAGAGTGGGAGTGGTGCTGGAACCCTTCCTTACTCTGGTCTCCCGAGCTAGAAAATTCTGATTCTGCGTAAGCTGGTCTCTGTGAGTGTAGCTCAGTGGTAGAGCTCAGGCTTAGCATACATACAGCCCTGGGCTCCATCGCTGACACCCCCTTTCTTTTTTTTTTTTTTTTTGACACCTCCTTTCCACCTCCCCAAAGAGAAAACAAAGAGAAATTGATCCTGTTTTAATCGTCGTCATCGTCGTCATCGTCAGTGGTCTTTGTCATTTTGAGCGAGATCTCACTTCTCTGTAGCCTGCTGATTTGGCAGGCTACATGTTAGCCTAGGCTGGCCTCTTTCATCATCCTCTGGCCTCAGCCTCCTGAGTACTGAGGGTGTACCTGTACCACTGTGTCTGGCTTGGTCCTGCTTTAAGTGGATCAGAAAAAATCTGAGGCCTTAAATCGTTTTTCCATGGAAGGACTACATAGATTTTTAATTTCAATCTTTATTACCAGCGTTGGGATTGAACCCAGGGTTTTGTACATGCTAAGTAAGCATTCAGCCACTGAACTACATCCTCTGTCCTTATTTGTACTTTTACATGTTTTTCTTGTTGCCTTTTGTTTGTTTGTTTGTTTGTTTGTTTTTTGAGACAGGTTCTCACTATGTAGTACACGCTGGCCTTGAACTCAGGGCAATCCTTCTGCCTTAGCCTCCCAAGTGTTGGATTATAGGTATGCACCATCATGCCTGGCTGGAACTTTTTTTTTCACCTAATAGGGTGTAGTGGGTACCTTTGCACTCCTAAAGTCACTCAGTAAATCCGTGATCTTTTTTTTTTTTTTTTGTCTTTTTTGAGACTGCCTCATTATGCATTCAGGCTGGCTCTGAACTCACTTTGTAGTCCCAGGCTGACCTCAACTCACAGCAATCCTACTGCACCACTTGAGCTGGGATTATAGGAGTATACCACCATGTCCAGCTCTCCCCACCCCTTTTTGTGGTAATGGGAGTTGAACCTGGGGTTTTCACACTGTACCATATCCATAGCTCCTTCCTGTTTCGTTTTTGTTTTTAAGAACAGTGTCTTGCCTTGTAGTTCTGGCCTTAAACTCCGTGTAGCCCACTGCCCTTTTTAAATTTTCCTTATTTTGAGACAGGGTCTCATCAAGTGGCTAAGTTCTCCAGGTAGAGTTCCAACCTGTGATCCTCCTGCCTCAGCCTCCCAGAAACTGTTATTATCAGTGTGTACCACCACACCCCTCTGGTATTTTATTTTTGTTTAAAGCTATTGTGAATGAAATTGTTTTTCTTAATTTCTGTCTCAGTTTATTGTTTGTTGGCCCGTAGAAAACTATTGATTTTTTAATGTTGATTTTGTATCCTGTTGCGTTAATCTTTTTCTTTACACATAGTTCCTGCTTAAATAACTATACACACAAATATAAGTTTAAAAAACAAATCTTTTTCTTTAGGGAAATACTCAGACATACACAAGTGGATAGAAGTACATGATGAATCCTGCTGGAACCCAGGTGGAACAGTCTCTGCATTTTGATACTTTCGTTCCATTTCCACCCATCCAGTTTCCTTTTTGCTAATGTCTTTTAAGAAACAAATTCCAGAAATAGTGCTATTTTACTGCACTATCACAGATTTTCTGAACTTTATTTTGGCAAATTTCAGATAGATTTAAAGTAGAGTTTTCCTGTACTCTGACTCTTAGTGACCAGCATTTGGCTGTTGCATCTCCTGCTCTCCTCTCCCCTTTTGTAGTTTGCTGGACTACTGAAAGCTATGCCAGCCATCCTGTTTTTCCCCATGTAAACACTTCAGTAAAGTAGCTTTTACTTATAAGATGCAAGTTCTGGGGGGTGGGGTGCTAAAGATGGAACCTAGGGGCTCACCCAGGGTGCACAAATGCTGCCCCCTCCAGATCCACCCCCCTCCCCCAGCTTAGACTGAAAGGATTTAAAAGAGGATGGGGATTAGTGCCAGGAATCATGCCCTGCCCCACCCCGCAAACTTAGAAAGAGGTGGATTTATAAATACAACTGCAAGTGCTAAGCAATAATGAAACTTAAAAAATTTGAGCTATGCACTTGAAGTATGGGTGGAATTTCATTTTCTGTCACGTAGGTTCAAATACATGATTTATGTGAGAAGGTGTCTTCTTAATTTCAGGTCTCAGTTCTCAGCGGAGGGTGACTTGACACCCTCCGGATGCGGACGTTTGGCAGTGCCTGGAGATATTTTTGGTTGTTAACACTTTAGGGATGAGGTGGGGTAAAACTACTTGACATGTGTGGAGGCCAGAGAGAAAGGTGATGTCCTGTGGTGCACTGCAAACCCTCCTGCAGATACAATTACTTGGCTGAGTTAGAAACCCCGGTTTAGGACACAAGTGGACTGTGTTGCATCCTAGGCCTCTTTGTGGCTCTCCTTAACTTCCCCGGACTGCTCAGTAAGCCCTGATCAGCAGGGCCAGCACTAAGGGGACAGACACATGTTGACATTATCAGTGTGACACAGGAAGTAAGCCCTAACTGTCCAGAAAATTTCAATTGAAGTGCCTTTAGATACGGCTCTATCAGTTAGTTACATCAGCAGGGATTATCTGAAAAGTTTCTGTAACCAAACTTTTATGAGGTTTGGACTCTGCTTACAAGGAAGTCAAACTCCCTTGGAGGCAAGCGGATGTGAAAGCTTTTCTCTTCTGGGAATGCTTCCAGAAGCAAAACAAGGCTGGGACTGTTCTAGTGGCAGCTTCCACATGTGGATAGACAGGAAAAGAATAAAATTTGTAGCCAGAGAGGAAAGGAGAGAGAAGCAAAATAGCTTTTCATGGAGACCACTTAGGAAGGACAGCCAGAATCTGCATAGCCCTAAAGAGGACAAATACTCTCTACTTGTGAGCACTAGACCATGGGTCACCCACAGAAGCTGTTCATAGTGGGTCCCTGGGGCCTGGGACCTTAGACCTAAGTTGGAGATGGGCAGGCCGATGACTGTGGTAATGGGGATTCAGAACCCCTGGCACTCAGGTAATTTTTCACCTTGTTTCTTTCCAGATTGCTCGTTTAGAAAGTGGATGTTCTGGGTAACATGTCCAGTGTGACTGAGGAGAGAAGGAAAAGACAGCAGAACATTAAGGAAGGACTGCAGTTCATACAGTAAGCACCTGAGAATTTATGCCTAGGTTTCTGCCATGTGGTGGGTCTCCTCTTATGGGGCCGAATATTTTGCAGAGTCTGAGAGCTCTTTATGCATGTTTAACAGGTCCTGTGAAATTTGGTTGAAAATGACCCTTGTTTTCCTTTTCTTCCCCTCTATCCATTTTGAGTGGCCATGTGTTCTGAAGTGGATCCTCCTGTTGCTGACTTTTTCAGGCTAAAATCCTTTAGTATCTCAAAAAAGGTTAGACTGAAGAACTTGAATGAAAAGTGACTGATGCATCTATCTGCAGAAAGAGATTTTGCCATCATACTATCCTGTTAGGAAGGATCAATGACAGACTGCCCTGCAATGAGAGGACATCAGGGCAGATCTGACCTTTGTTCCTTCCTGGGAAGCAGACATTGTCCTCTCATTGCAGTAAATTGGATCAGATACTGTTAGTGGTTCTGTACTATTTTTAACTGTTTTGGCATTTGAAGAATTAGGCCTTCTTTTAATAGAATTAGATTTGAAAAGAAAGTGTTGTACTTAAGAAAATAGTAGGAATAGTTTAAATTTTTTCTTCATGACTGCAGTCACATGCCAGTAAAAGATAAGTATTCCTTTAGAGTGTGTTTTGAACCAGCAGCAAGATAATGGAATCAAACTTCTAACATGACTTCTGGCTGAACAAATTCCAGTAGAACCTGATAATTACAATTGATTTGTTTTTCTTCTTCTTAGGTCATCGCTGTCATATCTGGGAACCCAGGAACAATATGCGGTAATGATCCCAGGGAAAGTCTGGTGAAAATCTGCCCGTGCTTGTGAGCTCTGCTCTGCAGCAGCAGTTGGTAGACCCTGGCCTTGTGGGCCAGATCTGGCTGGTTTCCCTCTTTCATATGTAGTTTGAGAACAGCCTCACTCAGATGTTTATGTCTTATGTATGGCTACTCCTGCAACTGTGATATTGAGACGGAGACCATAGGTCTGCAAAGATGAAATTATTCACTGTCTGAGCATTTGTGGAAAAAATTTGCCAACCCCTTGTTTTGTAGGACAGCTTAATGTTTTTTTGTTTTTTTTTTTGAGGGTTCATAATTGGACAATTGTCCTGCATTTTCCTTTCCTTAAGCATTACTAGGGTTCAAACCCAGGAACACTCTTATCAGTGAGCTCCATGCCTACAACTTTATTTTATTTTGAGACAGGATCTTGATAAGTTGCTCAGACTGGCCTCAAATTTAGTCTTCTTGTCTCAGCCTCCCAAATAGCTGGGATTACAAGCACATGCCGCCATGCCTGGCTTGTCATATATTTTCTTTCCTCTGCTAATATATTTTGATTTAGTTTTTCTTTCGAATCTCTTGAAAATTACCTTTCATGGGCTGGGGATTTAGCTCAGCGGTACAAGCACCTTGCCTGGCAAGTAGGAGGTTGTGAGTTCAATAATCCATACCAAAAAAAAAAAAAAAAGAAATTACTGTTGATTTTATTGCACATAAATGGGATGGAAGCTAAGGAGATTATTGAGTGTCTTGTTTTATTTTGAAGAAAATTCCTGACAGTAAAGAGGGGATAACTGGCTGCCAAGAAGAGCTGGTGAGGGGCTGGAGGTTTAGCTTAGCGGCATAAGCGCCTGCCTTGAAGTAGGCAGTCGTGAGTTCGATCCCGGGAGGGGCAGCACGTGGGCCATGGGCTGGATCCTGGCCACTACTCACTTGTGGCTTCTTATCTCTGAGGGTCTTAGTGCTTCCAGATGTCACTGCCCTTTGCCTCACGTCCTCCTTCCTCTTCTGTTTAGTTCTCTTACTCTCCACACAGATAATAGTCATAAGGTATTCAGGCAACAGTCCTTTCATTTTCCACATGAGGAACTCAGATCCACAGAGCTTCAGTGTCATGCCACATGTCACATCAATTAGTGAAGGTTGATCTGTCCCCCCCCTTTTTTTTTCCTCTTCTTTTCTTTTTTTGATGGTCTTTTTGAGACAGAGTCTTGCTACCCAGTTCAGGCTGGCTTTGAGCTCACTTTGTAGTGCAGGCTGGTCTTAAACTCTCTCAAACTCAGGACCTTGTGCTTGCCAGGCAGCTGATTTGCTTCTGAGCTAAATTTCCAGCCTTGGTCTCAAACTCTCAATGATCTTCCTGCCTCAGCCTCCCAAGTGCTGGGATTACAAATGTGCACCACCAAGCCTGCCTGGCTTCCATTTTCTTTAATAAGATACTCAGTTTACACATGAATTTAGAAAATGAGACAAAAAAGTTGAGTGTCTGATCATGTGATGACAAAGAGACATTTAAAATATTAAAGCAATGATAGAAATCATGAAGGAATATTAAAAAACTGTTGTACACACCAAAAGAATATGTGTACTTACTTGATAAGAAAATGACTTAGCATCCTTTTCCCCTAGATAGGTAGAGGCCCAAGCAAATAGTTTCCAAAAGAACAAATATAAACTGGACGTGGTGGTATATGCCTGTAATCCTAGTATTCAGGAAGTTTAAGACTGGAGGATCATTGTGAGTTTACTACAAAGTGAGTTCAAGGCCAGTTTGAGCTGTATAGCGAGACCCTGTCTCAAAAAAGAAAATAAAAAAATAAATGGTCCATAAAAATGTGGAAAAGTTCAACCTTACTGGTAAAGATATTCAAATAAGAAAAAATACTATTTTTCACCTACAGTTTGTTAGAAAATTTAGATATATGCACACACGTGTGTGCTTGCACACACACGCCTATGTACTACCCAGTGTGTGAAGCAAATCACTAAAAATACTTATTATAATTGCCTTTGAGGAAGTGCAGTAACAGACAAAATCTGACACTGAGGGCTTCTGCTTGGCATTTATTATCCTAGGCCCAGAAATGCAGATGTGAATGCATATTTATAAGGTGCTTTCTCTGTGTCTTTCTTCAGAAAGAGTGATTCTCTTTTGCAGAAACAAGCAAGATAAATCTTTAATACAGGCAACAGTGCTGCTGTTCCATCAAATGGTTTTCTCTGAAGTTTTGGGTACAATCACTGAAATTTATTCATGCCTTATCTTGTTCTGCAAAAGGTAACTTTCTCTTTTTAGGTATATTTGCAGGCTCTTGTGAGAAATCTTTTTAATGAAGGAAATGATTTTTATCGGGAACGTGATTGGAATAGCTCGATAAGCCAGTACACGGAAGCTTTAAGGATAGCTGATTATGCAGAGTCTGATAAAATTTCCATTCCTAAAGAAATCATTGAAAAACTACATGTGAATCGCATGGCCTGTTATTCTAACATGGTGAGTTATGATTTTTAAAACGGTGTTTCTAGAGATGATTTTCTTCAGTGCCAAAGTACATTGCAGCATAAGCACCTGCCTAGCAAGTGCAAGGTCGAGAGTTCAATCCCTGGTACCAAAAAAAAAAAAAAGAATATCTTATTAACTGCTTTTAGTGTGGTGTGAACCTTTCAGAAAGTCAGTATTAGTGAGTAAATCTTTAGAGACTTAAAAAGTACTTTTTTCTGGGGCTGGGATTTATCTCAGCGACACAAGCACCTGCCTGACAAGTGTGAGGTCATGAGTTTGATCCCCAGTACCAAAAAAAAAAAAAAAAAAAAAAAGTACTTTTTTCTGTGCTCACTTTGGCAGCACATATACTAAAAAGTACTTATCTTTTAGTTACTGGTCCCTGAAGATTCCCATGTGAGAATGGCTTTTGGGAGTGTGCCCACTGTAAAAGTCAGCCAAGTAGGTACAGATGTTTACAGATCAGTCATGTGCCACATATTTGTGGTGACAGGTCTCTTCTTAGAATTCAGTTAGTCTTGTTAGGAATTTTTTTTAAATGTACAGAACAATATTAAGAACAAGCCTTTCACATTTTGAAGTTCGAATAGCAGTATTTTGGTGTGCTCATTTTTACTATGGACATTCAATAAAACTTGACCATCAATTAAGGATAAGTAGTCTAGTTCTCAGTTAATGTGCATTCATTGATGATTTTGTCATTTTCAATAATGTATTCCTTATCATTTATCTATTTGGGAGTACATTTCATATTTTTCTTTTTGTAATAGACCCATCAACATTGTACATATTTATGGGGTACATGTAGTGTCTCAGTACGTATATACACACTGAGTAATGTATGAATTAGGATAATTATACTTATATCCTCAACATTTATCATTTCTTTGTGGTCAAAACCTTCAGAATCCCTTCCTCCAGCTTTCTTGAGATTATACAATGTATCATCATTAGTTGTAGCCACCTATAGACATTCACTATTTGAAGGAGGGTAACTGTAGAAGGGAGGAGAATAGGACAGAGTGACACTGGGGGGCATCAGCCATGTCCAGAAAGTTTTATTTCTTGGAGATCCAGTACCATTATGGCCAGGCATTAACAGTTACTGACCAGGCTAGTAACATACATAAATATTAGTGATATTTTTTCTACTTTGGTGTGTTTGAAATTTCATAACAAAAATAATTCTAGAAAAAGCAACACTGTCAACTTTTAGGTGGAAGATAATAAAATGATCTTAAAGTTGTTTGCATTTAGAAGTAGGCAGTGCAAGAAATGAGCCATATAAATTGGTAACTTACTTCTTTGGTCTTATGTACTAGGGTTTGCATGATAAAGTTTTAGAAGACTGCAATATTGTCCTCAGTTTAAATGACAGCAACTGCAAAGCGCTCTATCGGAAATCTAAGGCTCTAAGTGATTTAGGAAGCTATGGAGAAGCTTATCTTACCGTGGCAAAGTGTTCCTTAGCAATGCCTCAGGTATGGAATTTCTATTCATTTGTATTGTGGCCTTTTTATTGCTACATGTGGAGAAATAACATGGAAAGAGTTAAATTTCCAAGTAGGTTGTCAGCCTTCAACCTGCATGAGTTGGGGTAATAGCTAATAAAACAAATGCCTGGGCAGGAAATGTCATAGCTATTTTGCTTGTTCTGCCTAGTTAAAAAAAATAACCCTCTATTAAGCAAATTATGTTGATTTTTTTTTTTTTTTTCCAGGATGAACATGTAATAAAACTAACTCAAGCGCTAGCTCAACAATTGGGACTTAAGATAAGGAAAGCATATGTTAGAGCCGAGGTAAGCCAAAGTTCTCTAAGGTATTTTGATTTTGTTTTATAACTTGGAATCCATTCTGTTTTCAAATTAGTATCTTTATTTTATTTCAGCACTCACTGAAATCAGTTCCTGGGGATGGGACCGCCAAGGTAAAATTACTGTTTATGTAAGGTTTGTACTTAAGCCTTAGCAGTGCTGCTTTTCAGATTTTAATGTGTGCCTCTTTTATTTCTCAAGTATATAACTGGCCGTAGCCTCCTGTCACTTTAAAAAAGAAAACAAACAACTCAAGTAATACATTCTAATATTAACCAGCATCTGCTAAAGTCTAATGGAGTGTTTTACAGGATGTGAATAGATTCTTTGTTGGATTTGGGAAACATGGTTCAGGGCCAAATGCAAATTTTAGGAGACATTAAGATAAAAATAATTAACACATTATTTATTTTTTAATTTTAAGCTGTCATTTTGAGCATAGTTAAGATGCTAATGAGCATTGTGAATGGAGGCTGAGAAGTAGACACTAGATCAACCTCTGGTATTTTGCTGAATATCCTTTAGGAAACTCTAATCCACAAGAAATAGGTAGTGGTAGCCGGGTGCGGGGTACATGCCTGTAACCCCAGTTACTGAAGGATCGCTGAAGATTATTAATTTAAAATAGCCTGAGAAAACTAGTGAGATCTTTGATGCAAAGAAAAAAAGTAGTAGTGCTGCCAGTCAGTCGTCTGCTACAAAGGTTTGCACAGTCCTTTTATTGTTTGGGTCTTAATTGGAAGAAAGTCAGATGACTATGCAAGATGCAGTGGTCTCTTAGGGGGGATTTTTATACATTGCTCTGTAGTTTAGAATTGTAAAGACATGATTCATTGTTGGTTTATTTTCTAGGTTGTGGACTACTCTGTGGAAGATATTGAACCAGGTATGTTCTCGCTGAGTGTCTTCACATGAAACGTTTCAATTTTATACTTTATATATCAGATATTTTTTCAAGTAATATCGCCATGTGTTTGTCACAGCAACAGTATGATTGCTTTCATATATTCACCTAGCTTTTCATGTTCTCTGTTGGTTGTTACTACAAGTACTATATAAACGCAGTGAAAGTGAATGAGAATATTTCTGTCTGCGTTACAGATTTATTCACTCCACGGCAAGAAACACTTCCGGTTATCTCTTTACCTTTATCCAGCTTTTCTCATGATGTCAGAAGTGAGCTGGCCTCAGTTCCTACTGTGCCCTTACCTTCTATTTTGCCACTGCAAGTGGAAGAGAGTACTCTGTCATCCACAGTATTGGCAAATGGAGGGAAGATCCCCTTCACGATGCCAGAAGCTTTTCCAGATGATGGAGATATGGTCCTTGGAGATGAAATAGATGACCTCCTCGATTCTGCACCTGAAACTAATGACACTGTTATGGTGAGTTTCAGAGTTTTACTCTTCTTCAGAAAGTAGAGTTTTTTGCTTTGCTTTTTAGTTAAAATATAACCTCTTAGACACTTTCAGTATTTACATAGGCTGAACTTTGGATTTCTTATCTGAAAATTTCTTTTGTCCTTCTTCATAGAAACTGGGTAGATTGATTTTTTTTTTTTCTTGAGACAATGTCCTGTATCACGCTGTAACTAGGACTGGCCTTAATTCTTCTTTCTGATCCTTGTACTTTAGCTCCCTTGGTGTTGGGATTAAAGGTGTGTACCACCACACCTGCTTAATTTGGTCATTGTTGTGTGTAGTAATTACCCAGTTGTGTTTTTGTTTTGTTTTTAGCCAGTTTTTCTTAAAGGACAGAATAAACGTAACATTCTGATAAAGACTAGGCATTTGATATTTAAGGAAAGATTAGTGTTTTCTGAACTTCTTACTGCTTAAGGATATTCTCCACTAACTGCAGCCTTAAAGCAAAGGTCCACACATGTGGCCCACTGGCCATCTCTGCCCCCTACTGGTTTGTGTATGGCCCACAGACTAAAGATTTTTAATACGTTTTTAAATGGTTGGAATAGCAAAAAGACTGTTTTGTGATTCATGAAAATTACACGAGACTTCAATATTAGTGTCAATAGCGTTTTACTGAAACCCAGCCACAAGCATTCTTTTTATGTTGCCTGTGATTACACTGCATTAACAGTGTTGAATACTCACAGCAGAGCATGTGGCCGATACAGCCAAATTATTCCTTGTCTCACCCTTCTAGAAAAAGTGTTCTGAACCCTGCCATAGAGTGTATGAAGGTAGCAGCAGCAGCAGCAGTATTTTGATAAGATGAGAGAAAAAGATCCAGAACTTTTTTCCAGGGTCTGAGAAATGGTGACATCCATGTGGAATTCACTAAGGACAGAAGTGTAAAAGGCCAACAGTCATGAAAAAGACAAAAAAAAAAAAAGGGAGCTGGGGATTTAGCTCAGCGGCATAAGCACCTGCCTTGCAAGCAGGCAGTTGTGAGTTCGATCCCCGGTACCGATAAAAATGAAAAAGACAAAAAAAAAAAAAGGCCAACAGTCTGGGTTTTATTCTTACAACCCTGTGATCTTGGGCATGGTACTTCACCTGTTGGTGCCCCAGTGTCCTCTGTACAGTGGTAGTCACAGGAGGACAGATCAGAGAGTCATTGTACAGATCTAGTAGGCGATTTGTGATTTTTTTTTTTTTTTTTTTTTTTTTTTTTTTTTTGTATTTTTCGGTACCAACTCACGACTGCCTGCTTGCAAGGCAGGCGCTTATGCCACTGAGCTAAATCCCCAGCCTCAGCGATTTGTGATTTTACTTAGCATAATGGAAGGCTCACAAGTCACAGTGTGAATCAGGAGGGAAAGTTAAGACTCTGTTTGTTCTTGGGAGTAGCAAATTCATACTCCATAGAGTTGGTTTCTGCCCCAGCACCCTTTCTGGATTATACCTGCTCCTTTCCATCCTGCTTTGCAAATCCTTGTTTTATACAGCAAATTATTCAGTGCCTTGTTTCTGGGTGAGGACAAGAATCATTAGGAAATTTTGCAGATAACACATCAGTACAATATTTGCATTAATACAGTGTTAGACATTGTACCTCAACTGTTTTTAAAAATTTAGACTTGGAAAAAGTATAGTGGGACCTTAGTTCATGAACTTAATTCGTTCCACAATTCTAGAAAAGATGGCCACATTTGTGTTCTTGTGGGAAAGATGGCTTGCCTATGTTCATCACCAGATGCAGTTTGAAAACAAGCAAAATTTTGCCACACGTTTCTATTTTTGAAACAAATTGTTCATAAACAGAGACATTATTTCCATAGCTAAAATTCTAATGAATTATTTCAGTTTGTTTTGTGTTTTTAGGGATTAAAACCAAGACCTTCACAGTGAGCTACATCCCCAGCCTACTGTTTATCTTAAGATAGTATCCCACTGAGTTGCTACATTCCTCAGGCTAGGGGCAAACTTGCAGTCACATCTCAGCCTCCCAGAGTGCTGGGATTAAAATGTCTAATGAATCTTGATTTTTGCCTTATTTTTTTTGCAATAGTAGCAATTGAACTCCAACCGCATATGTGCTAGGCAAATGTTCCACCACTTAGCTATACCCACAGCCCTGTCACTCTTGATTCTGATTTAAGTGTTATTATTTGATCACAGTGTCGTACTTTATGTGTTGGTGTTAAAGATAGTTTAGCTATACTTGTGACAGGATTTTGTGAATTTTAATACAATCCCCTTTCTCCCCAGCCACCGGCACTAGTCCAGGTGCCCCTCCCAACGTCCAGTGTTGCTCCTAGCTTACCCTTCTCAGCGTCTCTGCTCGGAACCTTGCCCATTGGTGCGAGGTATGCTCCTCCATCCTCCTTTGCAGAGCTGTATCCACCTTTGACCTCATCTTTAGAAGATTTTTGTTCTTCTCTAAATTCATTTTCAGTGAGCGAACCCAAACGAGGTAAGAACCTAGTTTAAATTGTGAAATTTGGTTAAGTTTCTAAAAAAAACCAACTTATGACTGGTAATTATTTAATTATCTCTAGGTCCTTGAATTATTTTTGTTGTAGCTAAAAATGTGAAGGCCAAACCTTCAGTTTTGAATTCCCTTGATTTAACTACTCTGGATAGTGAGGAGCAAAGGCACAAGTGTAGACATGTATGTGGCACTGGTTTTTGTATAAGGTGGTTTGTTAAGTTGGGTGTTCATTTTTTAGGTGTAAAATAACTTTGAATATATTCTTTTTTTTTTGTCTTTTTCGTTTTTTTATCGGTACCAGGGATCGAACTCATGACCGCACACTTGTAAGGCAGGCGGTTATGCTGCTGAGCTAAATCCCCAGCCCCATGGTCTATGCCATCTTAATGGGTCGAAACACATGCTGATCTTTTTAAATTCTTCTTCTTTTTTTTTTTTTTTTAATCTTTTTAAATTCTAAACTGGGAAAACACTCATTTAAATCTGTGTTTAGAGTAGTAACAATTAGATCTCCTTAGGGTGTTACATAAAGTTCTGCATGCTGGGCCTATGGCTTTTATTTTATGAGTGACTGTTGAGATTTTGGTTTACTCCTGTGTCTGAAATCCAAGGTTTAATACAAAACAGTAATAATGAAAATCTTCATATTTTTCTGAGACATTGTTAACATGATTTAAAGATTTACAGCTCAAGAAACTAAAATATGCACGAGACAGGCAGAGACGAAATAACTATGTGATAGACTTAGAAGCTGAGTCCTGCTTTATGTCCTCAAAGAGAGGCTTTTTACCCATTTTTCAGCGTCCTGTCTGTGAAAATATGTTTTCACTTTAATTTGTTTGACTAAGGGTTACATTTACCCTTGGTTTCTACAAGGAAAGAAAAAACTCCTTGAGTGCAGTGAGCAAGAATGCTTCTAGGATTCGGGATGGGAATAGAAGGTGGGAAGCCATAGCCAGCCAGCTCCTGAACCCTGATGTTCTTATTACATGATTAGAGTGAAAAGGTCTGTTGAAGTTTTTTTATTATTTTAGATCTGTCCACCTCAACTTCTAGAGAGGGAACAACGCTTAACAACAGTAATTCTTCCCTTTCACTTGTAAGTGCCACTTCCTCTTTCGTAAATGCATTGCTTAAATTGAACATAGGCCTTGTACTTAAGTAACTGAATTATTTGAATGAGCATGACGGTCTCCCTTAAATTTTATATTTGCTGTGGGAAATAGTATTGTGTGACTCTTCTGAAGCATTCAGTAATAAATGCTCTGCATTTAAGACTGGATCTGTCGTACCAAAATAATCACTGTCACAAACAGTGTTGTAAGAGGCTTTAGCACAGCATAAACAAATCAAGGAAATATAAAACCAGGGCATGTAAGATGTGTGTACCATTGAAACAGACAATTTCATGTCACTTTTTACAGCTCATAGAAGATCAAATTAAGGGGGCCTAGAAAGGAAAATATAGAAACAGTTTTGAATGTAGAAGGGCAAAAAGCATATACTATTCCCGAATTCATCTTACTCTTTGGATGAACCCGGTTTCCTTTGTTAGTTATAGTATAATATTTGTTGCCTGTTTTTCTTTTGTTTGTTTGTTTTGGTTTTTTCCCCCTTTTTTTCTTGCAGATGAACAGGCCAAGTAGTTTGTTTACTTTTGATGGTTCCCTGGGAATTTCAAATCAACCTAGAAACGACTTTGACTTTGGAAAATTTTTTGGAAGTGCAATTACTAAACCATCTTCATCAGTGACTCCAAGACATCCGCTTGAAGGAACCCATGAGTTAAGACCAGCTTGCCAGTTCTGTTTTGTAAAATCAGGTGCGGACCAAACAATCAGGCAGAGTATTGAAGTAATTTGATACGAAAAGTTATTAGGATACAAATAATTTGAATTCTAAAGAAGCAAAATTTATTGATTTGGGGCTATTTGTATCTGATAACTCACTGCTGTTATGTGATATAATTTTATTTCTAGAATGATGTGGAATGAGCTATTTACCTGATCTTGAAAACTTACTACAACTGTTATTTGTTTAAGAATGTGGTAATTTTCCAATAGAATAATTTTCAAATTTTCAAAACCAGCATTATCAGACCAATATGTGGTTCAATGTTTATGAAAATTAAAGTGTTTTCTCTTGATTTGCTTTGAATCAAGAGATATAAACATTTTATTTGATCTGGACCCAACCTTATTTGCTTTCATAGTTGTCCTAATTTGATTTGTGGCTTTTGTTTTTTGGTTTTGTTTTTTTGTGTGTGTGCTGGGGATGAAACTCACAACCTTGAGTTTGCCAAGCAGGCACTTACACCGCTGAGCTAAGTAAACCCCCAGCAGTTGTCCCTATTTGAGATGCTAGAATCAGGCTGCAGTCTGGCCCAAAAATAGTTTAGAATGCTGCTTGATTTTTACTTTTATAAATCATCTGAATTCTTAGCCAGATTATTTCCCTAATAGTTAAATAGAGATATGTTTTGGCAGACTGATGTTAAATAGAATTTCATGTCACCTAACAAATAGCATAAAATTTAAAAGTTTGCCTGTTTATAGTATGATGAGATTTTGGAGCAGTACAGTAATCAGAGTTCATCTACTGAGTTACCTATAAACTGAAATGATATTTTTTTTCCTATTGGTAAATCTCTTTACCTCTTTTTCAGGCCCTAAATTAATGGATTTTACATACCATGCTAATATAGATCATAAATGTAAGAAGGATATTTTAATTGGTAGGATAAAGAATGTGGAAGATAAATCATGGAAAAAAATACGTCCAAGACCAACAAAAACAAATTATGAAGGACCATATTATATATGTAAAGGTATATATTATAATTACATAATTGATACATATGGCATAAATAATAAACAATTTGCTATAATCAGTAAGAAGGCTTTAGTATTGACTGTTACTAAAAATAGCAACTTCCTTAGATTGAGACATTAGTATTTTTTCTGTTTTAAAACTTTATTTATTTGTATTTTTGTTTAGTAATGGGCTGAGCACAAAGCCTTCACACTGAACTATGCCTCAGGCCTTTTTTTTTTTTTTTTTTTTCTTTTAATAAGACAACATTGCACTAAATTGCCAGGTTGGCCAGACTGGCCTTGAATTTGTGATCCTTGTGCCTCTGGAGTCCTGAGATTATAGGTTTACATCACCATTTATGGCTGTCTTAACATCTTGTGTGTATTTTATAGTTGTTTACAGAAATGGAGCTTTGACCAAGTTTTAAACAGAAAACTCTCAAACTTCAAATTTTGTCTATACAATGTCAAAACATTGAACTGAGGCTTGAAATATGCTGTTTTGTTTGACACACTTTTGTGAGAACTTGGCATTTGATTTTTGTCATAGCACTTCATCTGAGTGAGCTTTGAATAGCCCTAAAATGGTTTTTTTAAACTTAGATGAGATATATGAGAATATTGAGACATTTATCCCTATTTGTAATAAAACCATTCGTTAAAGACTCAACCCCATTCCTGAATAGTAAAATCATAGCTTGAAGCTGTTTATGAACTCCTAAAAATTTAGCCATTTAAGTATTATTAATATTCATTGGCTTTGAGAAACAGTTGCTGTGGTTAAATCTCTCACGCCCTGTCTTTCTAGACGTTGCTGCAGAAGAGGAATGTAAATATTCAGGTCACTGCACATTTGCTTATTGCCAAGAAGAAATAGATGTCTGGACCCTGGAAAGGAAGGGTGCATTCAGCCGTGAGGCTTTCTTTGGTGGCAATGGGAAGATCAACTTGACCGTGTTGAAACTTCTCCAAGAGCATGTTGGAGAATTTATATTCCTTTGTGAGGTACTTGTCTAAAACTTAGTTTTTACTTTATGCTTACTACTGGTGCTGGGGGTGTAGCTCAGTGGTAGAGTGTTTGCCTCCTCTGAGCAAGGCTTAGGGTTTGAACCATAGCACCACCAAAAAAGTGATAGTTCTGACTTATAAGCCCAGTAGTATTTTTAAAGTACTGAGGAGATCCTGCCATGTGTTGAGGCCTTCACTCAGTGAACAGTGTCTATTACTGTTATTAGAATAGTAAATCATAAGGCTTCTTGTTGAATATTAATTGGTACAAGTATAAAGCACATTAAGTTTGTAAAGATCAAAACTAAGGTCATGTCCAGGGTACAAAATTCAGAGTTTATATTTGTTTTGCTAATAATCATTTTTTTCCTCTCTATTCCAGAGATGTTTTGATCATAAACCTAGAATGATTAGTAAACAAAATAAAGATTCTACTGCTTGTTCTCACCCAGTTACAAAGCATGAGTTTGAAGAAAATAAGTACGTTGGTGGCTTCTGATTTTCCTAGTGACAAAATACATTCTTTTTCTTAGATCTAAATAAAACCAGTTATGGTATCTATTCAGACTTAACCTCCAATTCTTCTGTTGTTTTTTCTTTCTTTCTTTTTTTCAGAGAGGGTCTTACTATGTAGTTTAGTCTGGCTTTGAACTCATTATGTACAGCCCAGGCTGCCCTCGACTTCACAGCAGCCTTCCTGCCTCAGCCTCTCTAGAGTTGGGATTATAGGCATGCATCACCATGTCTAGCTTCTTTGTTTTCAAGAATAATTACTTTTAAAAATGTTTTTTAGTAGATTTGTCTTTGGATTAAGTAATATATTAATGAACTAGTTATTTAATACAGAAAACCCTTCCTGGTTTTTAGCTTCCGATGATATAGATTTAAATATTTTGGGTTTTTTTTTCTTACTTTAAAATATAATTATCCCTCCTATTGATCCAGTAATTGCATGCACTGATTTAATTTTTCTGGTTAAGATTTTTTTCATCTGATAATGATTGAAAATGGATTGTCTTGAACTTGACTTTGTGTGTGTGTGTGTGTGTGTGTGTGTGTGTGTGTGTGTGTGTGTGAACATATAAAACAAGGCAGAACAAGCTAGGCGTGGTGGCACATGCCTGTAATCCCAACACTTGGGAGGCTGAGGCAGGGGAATTGCCATGAGTTCGAGGTCAGCCTGCGTTACATAAGTCTAGGCTAGCTTGAACTACATGGCAAGACCCTCTTTAGAAGAAAGGAAAAAAAAGTGCAGAACAGTATTAAAATGTCAGTCTGTTTCATTTTAGGTGCCTTGTCCACATTTTGCGAGAGACATCAGTAAAATACTCCAAAATACGTCCTTTTCATAGTCAGTGTCAGCTTGATTTGTGTCGACACGAAGTTCGTTATGGCTGTTCAAGGGAAGATGAGTGCTTTTATGCCCACAGCCTTGTGGAACTCAAAGTTTGGATAATGCAGAGTGATACAGGTATGTCTGTGTATGCCTTAGGGTTGTATCTCTGCCAGAACAGCCAGGGCGATGGGTTCCTAGTGTGGGGACCTACCCTGTCATCAGCCACATGTGGGAATTCTTGATTTTGTCCAGAGCTTTTACCTCTGTGGTCACCTTCTGTCTTCAGAGTTCCCTGTATTTTGTGTGTAATTAATTGTGGATATAAGTTCAGGTAGCTTGGTTTTGGGTGGAGGGTACTGCTCAGAAGGAACAGAGATGTATTTGCAATAACATTTTGAAAAAGCACGATATAGCCAGGGCTTTAGCTCAGCCTGCCTGGTGGGCGCAGGGTTGTGAGTTCGAACCCTGGTACCACAAAAGAAAAAGAAAAAGCATGATGTGGTGGGCATGGTAGCACATGCCTGTAATCCCAGAACTCTGGAGGCTGAAGCAAGAGGGTCGCTGTGAGTTGGAAGCCAACCTGGGCTACATAGTGAGTTGAAGGCCGGCCTGAATGACAAAGCAAGACCCTGCCCCTAAACACCAGGGGGGGAAAAAAGGCATAATGTGATATTCTTCCTTGGTGATGGATCAGGCTACCTGAGAGTGATTGGGGGTTGAGAGGGTACTCCAAGTCTGACTGCGACCAGATTGATACACTAGTGTTATGTTTAGAATTTAAAAGAAGACTTATGTGTTTCCCAGGTATTTTACATGATGATATTGCTCAAGAATCTAAACAGTACTGGCAAAATTTGGAGGCAAATGTACCGGGAACTCAGGTATTTTCTCTTATGTACTTTCTATATTGGATGTCTTTCCCAGTATGCTTAATGGATACTGTACTGGGTAAGGCCAGATGCAGTTTATACTTGCAGTTCAGTTATTTAATGTTCAGTTGAATAATTCTTATGTGAAAGACAATTTGCATTTTAGTTTATCATCATAGAGAAATTTGGCAACCCATCATATCTGCAAATGTAGGATTCTGTTTTCTCATTTAACATAATTGGCAAAAACAGTTGGTGTTTTGAACTTTGGAGATTCTTGGTGTAACAGACAGGTTTTGTTTGCAGTTTTGCTTCCTACCTTGCAATAACTTGGTTACCCATTTTTCTTCCCCCATGTTCCCTCAGAAAACAATTCCAGTTACCACTTCCAAAGCTGACTTTTGTAAAATGAAGCTTGGTATCTGTAACCTGCTTTTATCATATTTTCCTGCAAATGTGGAAGGGGTGAATTAGAGATGTAATTATCAGAGCAGAATATAATGGTCAAGACATTGAAGCAGACAAACACAGGAAATTGTATCCTATTGTGAAGATTGAATGTCTGATTTAATATTTTGTTTCCAGAAAACTGACTTTTTTTATTGTCATTGGTCTTTTAATTGTTTAAGGTGCTTGGCAATCTAATAATGCCCGGATCTCTTAATATGAAGATAAAATTTGTGTGTGCTCAGTGTCTAAGAAATGGTCAAGTCGTTGAACCAGACCAGAACAGAAAATATTGTAGTGCAAAAAAAGAAAAGCATTTGTAAGTATTTTGTGTGTGTGAAAATAATGCCTGCTTTGTTACGATCAGTTTCATGGGTATAAAATCATACAAGAAAAAGATTAGGCATTGAAGAGAAAAAAGTAGATAATTCAAATGTGATTAAAAACAAAAGGAAGAGATTTTTAGGATCTAATAGTTAATTCAGAAGTAGTGTTTAGAAATAGTGTTTTTAAATGTGTTTAGGATTTATAGGGAATGTTTGTAAATGTCAACAGGAAGTGAAATTATAGAATCATAAGGCATTTCTTTGAGAAGTGTTAAGGGAAAAACTCTCTGGTCCTACAGGTACAGAGTTTGTACCTTTCCCTTTATATTTTGCCTTTTGCCAGTGTCTCTGTTTTTTCTGAACTCCATTTTTCTTAGGTGGACCAAAGATCGTCGTGCGATGAGAGTGATGTCTCTTGAACGTATGAAGTGGATGAACATCCGTCCTCTCCCCACAAAGAAACAAATGCCTTTACAGTTTGATGTACATACGTAATTTTTAAGCCAATTTTTTAAATTAGGCATTTCAAATCATTGGAAAGTAGTAGTAATTCACTCTGAAACTCAAGCCCTTTAAATAATGCTCACCAGTAATAAATTTTAATGGTTCCTCTTTTGTTTTCCACCCCTTTAGTATATATATGATTCTGTAACAGTTTTCATATTTATTAGAATTTTATGAATTACCTTACCTGGAAAAAGTAAGGGAATTGCAAAAAAGAATGGGTATAGTTTATTTTCTCAAGTGAATTATCTTTGGGAGGGAATGAGAATTTCATTTAATTTTGATTCCCTAGGTTTTATATCAAACCCAAGGTCTTCTGTATAATGAATGTTGTTGATGAATTTGCTCTTGTATTCAAGGGATATGAATGAGCTACAAGATCATCAACATTATAGGACTTTCTAAAAATAACTCAGAAAACAGTGCTCATACCAGAGCAACATGTACCTCCAAACCCTTTCATGTGGTGGCATGTTTCTTCTTGGTACTGCTTTACATGACCTCAGGGATGCTTGTCCAAGCAGACTACTTGCATTGTCTCCTGACTTCTCTTCATAAGAGAGAGGATTTGGAGAAATTATAGAGGTATTTTTCTGTGTGATCTAAGAGATAGTGACAAGTAAACCATTGACAGGAAGTAAACTTGCTGCTCGCATGGAAGGATTATGTGGAGAACCTTGCCGTCAGAGCAATGGGGACACTGGATGCAGGATTCCCCCATGAGTGGAGCTGCCCTCTAATTGCCAGGAAGGTTGAGATGGACTTCAGTGCATTTCTCATCACTGAGAGTACCTTGCAGTTTTTGTAAAACAGGCCAACAGGTCAGATCAGTCCTTGTTAGGCGGTAGTGTGTTGGTGCTTTTTCAAAGTGGTATTCTCAGATTTAGTCAGCAGGTTTTGTAAGAAAGAGAAAGAGTTCCACTGGAACAATGATATCTTGCATTTTAAAAGATAAAGGAGATAATATATGTACGAAGGGCTTGGTTAAAGTGAGGATTCTAGTTCTTGAGGCAGCTGCCTTGCACTAATGATGATTCTTTAATCTGTGATAGTGATTCTTTAATCTGTAACGTGCTGTAATACTGTGCAATGCTATAGCAATTTATTTCCTCTTTTTTTTTTTTAAACCATCATACTAGGTGTTGCTATGAGCCTTTTCTCAAGGGGAAAAAATAATATTGTGTGTGGAAAGTGTGGTGAGCTAGAAGGAGAATGGGCTTCAGAGTCGGCTATAGATCCTAGTCAAGTTACTTGGCCTGTTATTGCTCTTCTGTAAATGGGAGTAATTAGATCATAGGGACGATTATGTGTGGTGGTTATCTGTAAAAGCCCAGCACAGTGCCCCACTGTCTGCTTTATACTTCCCTTCTTGCTGATCATTGAGCTTTGAAAGATTATGGTAAATGTTTCCCTCCTAATACAACTAAGTACCTGTGAGATTTGCCTGGGAAAAGAACACAGTTGAGTCAGTGACAGGACTGTTGCATTGGCTGCTGACTTCATGCAGATGATTTTCAGGGTGGGGTCGCTGTCATTGGTCTAAGAGACAAAATGTACAGTGATGAGGACTGTTTGCTTTTAGAGTTGTGCAAAAACAGAGAAGAAACATTTAATGTCACGTAACTAAGGAGAATATAGGGCCAGTTCCTGATGAAATAAATAGCATGATAAGCTAATAATAATTGTACTTGGATTTATGCTGTGTAAAGACAAGTAGATTGATAATACTTAAGAATGAGCTCTCTTGGTAAGGGTGGTTTTCTTGGATCTAGATAGCCATGGTTCTTAGAGATGTCTGTACTCTGCTGATAACTATTACTTTATTTTCTTACCAATATCACCATATTCTTTTGTTAAATAAACATACTAATTACCAGAGGAAGTTTTATTTGAAATCTCTGTAGCTCCATGGCCTGCTTAGTGTAGTAACGGTCTTCAGATAATGCATTATTTACTGGATTGTGACCAAAGTTAGCTACCAGGGTTAGTTATCAGTAATTTAAGTTTCTGAAATGTCCTGGTGCTATTCTGTAACCTGAGCAGCTTCTTCTGCAGCTTCTTCACTGCTCCCCAAATGATGATGGGGGCAGGAGGGTGGGGCATGGATGTTATTTCGGGAGAGAACGAGTTATCTAAGGGAAAGGGCCACAGATTTTTAATGCAAAGAGTAAATGTCCTGCTTATGTGAGTTTGTTGACATTTTCTTGTAAGAAAATGCTCTATACTCTAATTCTACATACTTTACTTTCTTTTGGAAATCTTTTGAAAATTTTTGAGATAGAAATGGTTATTAATGTCATCTCAAATATTTTGGGCTAACAGTTACTTTGGATAGAAGCAAATTAATCTTATTTTAAAACTTTATTGCTAGGCAGTAACACTAATAAGGCCCATTTCTGCTTACGTGTAAAAACTAGTTCTACTAAGTATGCTCAGACTTAAAGCATGTTTACTTTCTTTTCCTTTTTTTTTTATTTTAAACATACAGATGTGCAACCATATCTCCGCTGGGAAGAAATGTCAGTATGTTGGGAACTGTTCCTTTGCTCATAGTCACGAAGAACGAGAAGTGTGGACTTACATGAAGGATAATGGAAGTAAGTCCATGTTTTCTGTGTCCTTAACATCTGAGAAGTCCAGATCCCTTAAAAGTCCTTTTTTCTCTATAAAGATGCCAGCTTCCTGTGAACACAGAAAGCAGTTTGCTTTCTACACAGTTACAAACTCTTTCATCAGTAACTGTGTTGGTGGCAGTGGCTAGAGAACGTGCTCACAGCCTCAGTGGAGTGGAGTCTGACATCTGATGTGTTTTTGGTTAGACTGGATTTCAATACAAATGTGTGTGTATCACTTTGAAGCAATAGGTATGTTGGTGAAAAATGACCCAGGGAAGTTCAGTTTTGCCCTGAGTTTTTAAACACATTGTGCCCTTTGGTTGTGATGAGTGGACCTCTGAACTACCTGGCCGTGGGAGGGTTTCTTACTTAAAGTAAGGCCAGATCCTGAAGCCCAAGTAGAAAATGTTTATCTTGGTACATTTCAAGTTTATTGTGGACCCTTTGAAAGAAGCCTCAGACCACTTTTCACTTTTAACTTAAAACGTTTTACTACAAGAATGATTATTCTTTAGTATTAATAAACTAATGAGTACCAGCTGCAGTCTCTAGATTGTAAGCATCAGTCAGATTTAGGGGTCTTACCTGCCCTGTGACTTGTGTGGAGGGTACTCCCTCTAGTTGCCTTTCTTACTATAAGGTCCTATACTATGCCTTCCTGATAATCTATTTACCAGAACGCACTACTGTTGATCTTTTTTTTTTTTTTTGTCTTTTTCTTTTTTATCGGTACTGGGGATCGAACTCACGACTGCCTGCTTGCAAGGCAGGCGCTTATGCCGCCGAGCTAAATCCCCAGCCCCTCTACTATTGATCTTAAGGCAAAAGAATTTCTAGCTTATCTCTGATCTGAGCCTGATGATCTGTTGTTTGAAAAATTCAGGAAAACAAGGACACATTTTGACCAGATCTTCATTATCAGGGCCTTTTTTTTTCTTCTTTTTGGTACCAGATCAAACTCAAAACCTTGTGCTTGCTAGGCAGGTACTTATGCTGCTGAGCTATATCCACAGTCCCTTTATCAAGGTAGTGGTTCTCAACTAGGGTCAAATTTTGTTACACAGCCTTCTTGCCTCCGTGGACATCTGGCAGTGTCTGGAGACATTTTCATGATCCTGACTTGGAGCTATATACTACTGGCTCACAGTGAGAAGAGTCCAGGGATGTTGCTAAGCATTAAAATGTGTAGGATGGCTGCCAGCAGCAAACAACTATCTGGTCAGCATGTCAACAGCACTAAGGTTGAGAAATCCTAGGTTTTGCATTAGGCAGTAATGCAGAACCTGCCGGCTCTCACCATAGGAAGAAACTGGCAGCCCCTGCCCAGGAGCTAGTTCTAGAGGTATTATTGTAATTATACCCTAACATGTTGGTTCCCTAGGGCCGAGACTTGATGGGTGGGCTCCCATCACAACTGAGTCTTCACCCAGGAGTAGTTCATTTCTTATCTTTCTCACTGAACAGTGGGGAGAATAGCACCTCTGAGTCCCCCAAGTCACTTGAACAGCCTTGTGGTCATGGCACTGATGAGTGTGTAACGTAGGGTAATGGGAAGATAGTACCAGGGTATCTTTAGCAATTCCTTTCAAATGGTTTCTGAGTTTGTTTTGGTACCGTGGATCGAACTGACAACCTCGCACTGTGCCACTGAGCTATACCCAGCCCCTGAGGTTTAAATACCCATTGTGTTTAATATGGGGAGGAGTTAACTAGTACTGAAAACTAATATTTCTGTCTACAGACCTGAAATTGATTCTTCTGCAGGAGTTTATCTACTCTCTGACTAGACTGGCTCCCCATACTTCATTCCCCTCATATTTGTTTTGAAAATGTACTCTGTGGGCTGGGGATTTAGCTCAGCGGCATAAATGCCTGCCTTGCAAGCAGGCAGTTGTGAGTTTGATCCCTGGTACCGATAAAAACGAAAAAGACAAAAAAAAAAAAAAGAAAAAAACAAAATGTACTCTGCCTGATACAGAAAGTGTGTGTGAGTATGCCCGTGTTCAATGTCAATTGATTACTGCTACTGACAGTCATTTCATTTTTCTTTAGTACAAGATATGGAACAATTTTATGAACTTTGGCTAAAGAGTCAAAAAAATGGAAAAAGTGATGATGTAGCTAGTCAAGCAAACAAGGAAAATGGAAAACAAATTCACATGCCAACAGATTATGCCGAAGTGACTGTAAGTACTATTGGCCATATCTCCTTTCTTTGGCTTGGAGCCATCAGTAGAAGGCTTCCTTTTCCGTTCTCCAAATCCTGGCTCTTTCACTCACTGCCTGCTCTTCTTGCGGGTATCCTCTTGTCTCTTGGCGGTTTTCTGCCGTTAGCTTCCATTTCTCAGGCCAAACATCCTTGCCTTGACCCTTTTTCCCAACTGTGAGTGCAAGGCCTAGGTTCTCCTTACCAGCCTGGGACCCTGGGCAGAGTCCCCAGGTAAGGATGTCATGATGGTGAGTGAAATGTAATGAGTGCGTGACACTTAACTGAGTAGTAGGCTCAAGAAGGATTCAAGAAGTGTGTGCTGTCTGGCCCCACCTCCAGTCCTTTTAAAACTTTTTAATTTTGAGATAGCATCTTTCTAAGTTACCAGATTGTCCAAGATGCCTTCAAATTTATGATCTTCCTGGGGCTTCTTTTTGCTATTTGTTTCTTGAGACAAGGTCTTGCTATGTAACTCAGGCTGGCCTTGGACTCATGGCAATCTTCCTGCCTCAGCCTTCTGAGAGCTGGGATTAGAGGCATGTACCCTCCCTCCCACAGGCTTTCTTTCAACTTACATAAATATGTGTGTCATTCCACTATGTGTCTTTTGGTCTAGTGTTTTGTTTTTTGAATATTTTTTATTAGTATACGTTTGTAGTACAGTGATCACAATTCTCATGGGGAGTTAGTACATGTACCTAACACATCTTAATTCCATTTTCAACTCCTCCCCCTCTCTTTTCTGCTCCCCCTTAGTCCTTTTCCCTTTTGCAAAAGATCTATCTTCCCATTTTTCTATTACCTTTTATTTAGAGTTTCTCATAGTACAGAAACTATGTGATATTTAACCTTACGTGGTTTTTTTTGTTTCCCTTAATATTATTTCAAGGCACATCCTACCAATGGCTTAAGTTTATCCTTCTTTATGGCAGAGTTATATTCCACTGTGTGTAAATTTCCTTTACCCCTTCATCTGCTGATGAACATGTAGGCCACTTCCAAGATGCTACTGTGAACTGTGCTGCTGTAAACATGTGTATGCATGTGTCACTGTAATATGATGTCTTTAACTCTTTAAGAAGATCCCTAGAAGGGGAATTGCTGTGTCAAATGGTGCTCCTTGTTTCTTGTATGTTTTGTAGTACTTCTCTATCTTGACTCAGTTGAACATACATAGGGCTTATGCATGCCTGGTTGTATGTGTCTTTCTACCTGGGGTAGTTGAGATATGCTACCCAAACACTTAAAAGTTTGCATCTGCTGTAGCATTTAAATCTCACCTCCTCAGATGGTCTGTCTCCTATAGGGTCAACTTTTTTTTTTTTTTTTTTTTTTTAAACTGTTGTTTTGAGACTCTTAGAGTCTCACTATGTATTCCATGCTGGTCTTGAACTCACTATGTAGCCCACGCTGGCCTGAAACTTGTTGCAGTCCTCTTGCTTCAGCCTCGCAAGAGCTGGGTTTACAGGAATGCACCCCATGTCCAGGACCAGCTTCTTTACTTCCCTGGAGCCTTACTCACCTTTGGAGCTCAGGTCATGTGTGTCACATGGAGCTGTTGCTTGTCCCTCCAGAGTAGCACACCTTGATCTTTCACACCCTCCCCCTTTTTCCTTGTGGAATTCATTATTCCAAGTCCTCAGATGAACCTGCTTCATGCCTGCCCCATAAACGTCTTTGTCTGAACACCAATTCCTGTGGCCTACTTTGCTGGGTAATTCCTGGGTGTCTAGCCAGATTCATTCCCCTCCTCTGCTTTCTGTGTGTTGGCTTTTTTCCCCATACTGTGGTCCTTCCCTTGATCTTACTTTTCACTTTTATGTCCTTACTTGGCTCTCTGAGAATAGAGTCTGGTTGAACAGCGTGACAGGGCACTCAGACACCACCACTGATGGGCCACATGTCTTCACCACCCTTAGGCGGATTTTCACTGCTGGATGTGTGGGAAGAACTGTAATAGTGAGAAGCAGTGGCAGGGCCACATTTCTTCTGAGAAGCACAAGGAGAAATTTTTTCATACAGAAGATGACCAGTATTGCTGGCAACACCGCTTCCCAACAGGATATTTTAGTATTTGTGAGAGGTATGTAGGTTTGTACAGTTTTTCTGCATGGAAATAGCTGAGCTTTGATAACTTTCCTAAGGCACTGTTTCAGTGGACAGAGGATATCTGTTGTGGTAGCGTTTTCTGGTGGATGTGGGTCCTGACAGAGTGGTATCTGGGTGCTGCCTCAAGGTGTTCTGTTGCTCAGTGAATATCTCATCACTGTTCCGGGGTTACATGACAAGACTCAATGGCCTTCTGAGACTGGCTTGACCAGTAACTGAAGGCAAATGAATAGGGAAAGAAGTGTTCATTCAGTTTTGCCTGCACGATCTTTTCATCCTCAACTGTGATTTGCTTAACTGTTTACTACAACCTTTGCGTAAAATTGATGTGCTTCCAATTTGAGATAGCTTTCAAGGGCAAATCTAGACTTCATATCAAAGGAAAATGGGTAACTTAAAATATCACTCTTGTGGGGCTGGGATTTAGCTCAGCAGCATAAGAACCTGCCTTGCAAGCAGGTGGTCGTGAGTTCGATCCCCGGTAACAATAAAACAAAAACAAACAAAACTATCACTCTTGTTTCCTTAGAAAATATTCCAATGAAAACTGGATAATTTGGAATTACTCTTCATTTTATAAATATATTTAATTCCAAATTTAGAGCCATGGATCCTTAAAACCACTGAAAATCTTTTTTACTTAATATCTCTTCTGATACCTCTCTGCTGCATTAATTAATAACAACTACAGTCTCTTTTTCCATACCAGTCAGTAATTTTTTTCTTGGTGTTGGAGAACAAACCCAGGGCTCCATGCATACTAGGTAAATGCTTTACACTGAACTTCACCTCGCCCCAGTCAGTACTTCTCAATGAATACACTTAAGTAGTTTAAAGTCCTCATTCTTACCAATGTTATGCCTAAAAAATACTCATTTTTAAAGGCTTACAATTCCCATGGGGCAGGATGGTGTGTCATCACGGCAGTTGGGAGGCTAAGGCAGGAGAATCACTGCAAGTTCAAGGCCAGCCTGGGCTACATAGGAAGTTCAAAGCCACCTTGAGTTATATAGCGAGATTTTGTCTCACAAAAAAATAAAAGATTCCTAATTGGGCCTGGTGATGTTAAGTAGTTGTGAGGCCTGAGTTCAATCCCCAGCACCAAAAAAATAAGATTTTTAGATAAAAGTTCTTATGCAATTCACAAATCAACTGAAGGATCTATTTTCAAGAATTACACCATCTCAAGGATATAGCTCAGCAGCACAGTGCTTGCCTGGCAAGCATAAGGTCATGAGTTTGATTCCTAGTACCAATAAAAAATTTCTACAAAAAAAAAGAATTACAGCATAGTTTTTATAAGTGACTTTACCAGGCCGCTATCTCCTCACAGGTATATGAATGCAATTTGCACTGAAGGAAACAGCTGTAAATTTGCACATGGAAATGCCGAGCTCCAAGAATGGGAAGAAAGAAGAAATGCCCTAAAAATGAAGCTCAGCAAAGCACGGAAAGATCACTTAATTGCCCCAAATGATAATGACTTTGGAAAATATAGTTTTTTGTTTAAAGATTTAAACTAATATGCTGGCTTTTATGTAACCCAATCAGAGCATTGACGAGAAAAATTGAAAGTGTTCTGAGGCACATAGCAGAGGAGCTACAGGCTTTCTGCTAGTATTGGCGTATATCATTCCTCCTGAGCAGCACCCAGTAGCTAGGAAAATGGGCTGGTTAGCGGGTCTGGCTATGCTCTCCTGGAGCCACTGGCCTCAGATGGTGAAGTGATGCTGCCTGGTGCCATCTGTTGAACAGACTTTTGGATGGAATGTTGGGGAAGAGGATAAAGTTATGTCTATGGCAGCTCTTTGAGTTGGTCCTTCAAGTAAGAACCATGATGGTAAGACAGTAAATACTTGTACTGGGGTCAGAATACATGATGGATGAAAATTTTTACATGACTTAGTGGAATGAATTTAATATAATAAAGTTTGCTACTTATCTGTATGTAGGTTGCTAAAGAGGATTTTCTTAACTGAGATTTTAAGCCAAATAACCATTTAACACTAGTATATGTTAAATGGGGTATTTTTCTGTATTTGTATGTTTCACTATAATAAGGGAACTGAACATAATGTGCATTGAGAATATTTTGAAAAATAATCAATTGACTCAAATTTTATTTCTTGGTCTTTCACTGTTTCAATGATGATTTTGAAAGATTAAACTTGTACTGTTGGTTTCGTGTAGTATCTGGACCAATATTGCCTGTAATAAAAGATTTTATATATAGATGCCTTTCGTCTTTTTGGTTTGGTCTTTTCTCCATGAATTGTTGGAATTAGGTACTAAAATCACAAGTTGCTTTATAAAAGGAAATTTCACTTAAGCAGTGAGCAACTGAATGCAAACTGGAGGAACATGAAAGGAGTTTTTCACTTAGTTCTTGCCTCTGAATTTCGGCCGAATAAGAGGCTTCTTGTATTGACTGACTCAGGAACTCCTGAGGGGCTCCTCTCCATGTCACTCAAAGGAGTTAGATTAGCAGGGAGGAAAATGGTGAAATAAAACACCAGGAGCTGTAGGACTCCACCAAGGAACCACACCCTGGACAGGCTTTTGTGGTCGAAAGAGATGACTGTAGGTTTGGGTAGGATGGGACATGCTGCCAGACACAGACACGGCTGGACTGGCGTCTGCAGCCCCAAAGGCCTGCAGAGAGGACCAGCAAGCCAGGAAGAGTGGTGATTAGTGTCACCTGAGGGACTTAAAGGCTTGCTCTGCTGGGCTATGATGTAGCAGCTCTTTAGTCTTCAGGCAGAGTGACTTCCTCAAGACAGCTAGTGGCGAGTGGGATGCTTGGCATGCTGCAGGTACTGAGATGTGAGAAGCAGTAGCAGAACTAGATGCTCAGAGGCAGAAGCCTTCCTGGAAGTGATTAGGAGAGCCTTTTCACATGTGGAAAGGCCCGCACGACCAGTTATTTTTGCCATGTGTACTAGGTAAGTGTCTACCACTGAGCTACAACCCTAACCAAGAACCCGCCTGCCCTAACCTCCCTGTATATTTGCTGTGCCTTGGCTTTCCACCTTCTCAGCAGTTCTTTGTGCTCTGAACCATCCTTTCAGTAAACTGTTTCTGCTTAAGTCAGCCAGTTTCATGCTCCAGTTTGCATTTAATCTCTGCCTGGTACAGCCTAGGTCTCAGCATTAGGAAGTAAAAGTTAATTATTCTATGAGATTATACCCATATCCTACAAGTGAGTGGCTCATTGGGCAAAGAAGGTGGTGAGAGGGAACAGAGGAAAGGGAAAAAAAAGTCAGCTAAGCTCCAATCTCATATTGTAGAGATACATTCTCTCTCTCTCCCCCGCCCTCTCTACTCTCTCTCTCTCTCTCTCTCTCTCTCATACCAGAAATTGAACTCGGTTACCTTATGCTTGCCAGGCAGGCACTGTGCCTGATGAGTTACGTCCTCAGCCCCTCCAATCCCATATTGCTAATAGAGGAAACAAGAATAATTGGGATGTCTATTTGGACATGTTATCTCATGGGATAAACTTTTCTGAGACAATATCTCCCATGTATAGTTCAGGCCAGGCTTCAATTGTGTATCCCAAACTGACCTTTACAGCAATCCTCCTGCCTCATCCTCCCAAGTGCATCACCATGCCTACATTGGGAAAATTATTTTGGGGGTTTAATTTATATAACATCGCCGGGTGTGGTGGCTCACCCCTGTCCCAACACTTGGGAGAATGAGGCAGGAGGATCATTGTGAGTTCGAGACCAGCATGGGCTACAAAGGGAGCTCAAGGCCAGCCTGAATTGCATAGAGAGACCCTGTCTCGAAGACACACAAAAAAATTTATATAACATCTACTTGTTTTGAGAAACAAGGTCTTGCTACATACTCTAGGCTGGCCTTGAATTTGTGATCCTCCAATTTCAGCTTCCCAAGTACTGGGACTACAGGTGAGTGCCACCACAACTGGCTAACCACCATTCTTACGTGTACAATTCAGTGGTTTTTAGTATATTCACAATGTTGCGCTACACTTAACCACAGTCAACTTCAGAATATTTTCATTATCTGACAACCCCTTAACCCACCATTTCCCCAACCTACCCTGCCTCTCAAACTATAGACAACCATTACTTGGTTTCTATGGATTCTCTTGCATAGTAAGTAGAATCATACAATGTGTCCTTTTATGACCTGCTTCTTTCTTTTAACTACTTTTTGGAGGTTTAGTCTTTCCCTCGGGTTTGAAGGTGTCAGCATATATCTTAGAATGTATGTTCGAGGTTTTTTTGCTTATTTGTTTGTTTGTTTTTTGGTACCAGGAATTGAGCTCAGGGCCTTGCACTTGCCAGACAGGCACTGTGCTGCTGAGCTACATCCCCAGCCCATGTCGCTGGTTTTTATGGCTGAATAATACTTCATTGTCTGGGGAGATCACATTCTGTTTGTCCATTCATCAGCTGATAGACATTTTCATTGTTAGTACTTTTTGCATATATGGATATACACATGTGCAAGCTTTACATCTCTATAGCTTTGCTGGCTGTTATGAACTGCCCTATCTACCTGAAAATGTATGCAGAAGTTAGAGGTGAGTCCTTCCTACTCATGGAAGTCTCAGGAATTCCATAACTAGTAGATAGGGTATTCCCTCTCATCCTCACCCTTCCTGGGGCTGTGTACCCAATGAAGACCCTTTGCATAGAGTCCTGATGTTCTTTTGACTTAGTTCCAGGGACTTGTATCAGCTGAAAAACTGATGGAGAACTTATTACCCAACCAGTTGATGCAGGCTATAAACACCATAGTGGGCTAGGGAGATGAGAATCCAGGCTTTTTGTGAATATCTGCTGCAAGGAATGAATGCCAATCTATAAAATCCCTTTCTGGGGTCATGATACAAAGCCTCTAAGAGATACGGACACCATTATCTAGTACCCAGTCTGAGGGCTGGGCTTCCCTCCTACATTACCTGCTACCTTGACGATGCTAGAGATGCACTACTTTGTAAGTGCTTCGAAGCTTTAACAGTTAACAGAGCTGGGTGTGATAATGCCTGTATGTAATCCAGCACTGGCAAGCTGAGGCATGAGGATGGCAAGTTTAGGCCTAGCCCAGCCAATTTAGCAACACCTTGTTTCAAAATGAAAACTTTAAATAGGACTGGGGGTGTACCTCAGTGCAAAGGCAGTTCTAGGTTCAATCCCTAGTACGACAAAGTGAGAATTATTTGATCATGGTATAAAAAGTGGCCACAGAAGCTTAGATTTTGGTTGACCAGTACAAGATGGGGCTGATCTAACCTTTCAGAAGTAGTGGCTCTGGGGCTGGAGGTTTAGCTCAGCATCATAAGCGCCTGCCTTGCAAGCAGGCAGTGGTGAGTTTGATCCCTGGTACCAATAAAAACGAAAAAGACAAAAAAAAAAAAAAAAAAAAAAAAAAAGGCTCCAAGTACTCAGAAGGGCAGGGGATATAACGCAGAAATGCCACCTTGGCAAGTGCAAGGTCCAGAGGTGGCTTCCCAGTGCCAGAAAAAAAAAAAAAAAGGAAACATCGTTTTTTAATTCAGGGTGATTCTTTGCCACTAAACCAAAATCCCCTGCATTACCTCACAAGGAATTGTTGGTCTGACATAGACTGGGCAGCAAAAGTACTTGAACCTTATAATGCCTGTGCAAGTGTCAGCTGTCTTGTGGAGGCACAAGACAGATTCTGTTGGCAACCCATAATAAGTCAGATTGGTGATGTGACCATGTTTGTGCTAGCAATATACAGTACCATGTAACTCAAATCTACACAAAAATCAAGAGAGCTAGAAATGGTAAGTCAGAGAGTTAACAAACCCTACCAACAATATATTCTCTCAAAGTTTTTTTTTTTTTTTTTTTTTTTTTTTGTCTTTTTCGTTTTTATCGGTACCAGGGATCAAACTCACACCTGCTTGCAAGACAAGTGCTTACACCGCTGAGCTAAATCCCTAGCCCCTCTAAATTTTAAAGAGAAGATTATGTAAGAATAATGAGCTGGGCGTGGTGGCTTACTCCTGTAATCCCAGCACTCAAGAGGCTGAGGTGGGAGGATCATTGCAAATTCAAGACCAGCCTGGGTTACAAAGTGAGCTCAAGGCCAGCCTGAACTGCATAGTGAGACTCCATCCCAAAAAAGACAAAAAAAAGAATAATGTAACAGTGGGACCAGGGACCTCAGTGGCATAAGTGCCTGCCAGGCAAGTGCAAGATCCTTAGTTCGATCTCCAGAACCAAAAAAAAAAGAAGACTATAACATTATATGACTGGGTTTCTAACAGATAAAGAGTAGTAATAGCACATAAAAAGGGAGGAGGAATTGGAGATATAATTTTATTGGAAATTTAATATAAATCTGAAGCAGATTCTGAAAAAATACATCCTTGGGGCTGGGGATTTAGCTCAGCGGCATAAGGTACCTGCCTTGCAAGCAGGCAGTCATGAGTTCAATCCCTGGTACCGATAAAAACGAAAAAGACAAAAAAAAAAAAAAATACATCCTTAATCTCCAAAGCAACTTTTAAGTATATGATTTAGATGTTAAAAATCACTTAAGGAATTAATGGTAAGTTAGATAATATTCACCTAATTCAAAAAGAAAACTGTAAAGAATAAGCCAAAAGGGCTGGGGATTTAGCTCAGTGGCATAAGCACCTGCCTTGCAACCTTGCAGGTGCACAGTTGTGAGTTCGATCCCGTACCAAAACAAACAAAAAAAAAAGTGTAAGATACAGAAAACAACAAAATGGTAGAGGTAAAGGAGCCACTGACATGTTGGGTTTTGATGTTGGTCCTCAAGGGTTACACTAAATGTCTGGCACAGGTATCCAGGTCACCTAGCAAGAGCCCATTTTACATCTATGGAGACAGAACTAAACAAGGGTAACAAGATGTGTGTGGGAGTTACACAGCTGACCTGTGGCCAGGGGCTTCTCACCTTAATCTAGCTCTCAGCTGTGCCTTTTCTGTTTTTCATTATGTTGTCTTAATTTCCTTAAGTTGTATTTGCCGTTAGTAGGATGGTCTTGGTTTTGGGTTTTTTGTTTTGTTTTGTTTTTAGTTTTTTCCTTCTGGGTATTGAGCCCAGAGACTGCTGAGTTATATCCAGGTTATAAGCAATGCTTGTTTTTGTTTGTTTATTTGTTTTTTTGTCTTGAGACAGGTCTTGCTAAATTGCCCAGGCTGGCTTCAAATTTCCTATCCTCCTGCCTCTGCCTCCAGCACTGCTAGAATTACAGGTGTTTACCACCACTTCCAGCTCTTCGTTAATTATGGCTGCTGGAGACCAAATCTTAGTGAGGCAGCTGCAGCCAGGTAATTGTGTGCATTCGCTTACCCAGCGTACACTGGTCCTCTTCCTGATGAAAACAATTCCTAATATTGTCAAATTATTGGGGATCCATGCAGTGAGTCTCCAATCTCCTACCAGGTGTTATGGTGCATGGCAAGAGAGAGAAAAAAAAAAAAAAAAAAAAAGAGCAAGAGACAAAATGGCAGCAGGGATCCAGGATGACCAATTGTTCACAAGGAAGAAAAAGGCCAGGAGGCAGCCAGAACCTTGGCATTTACTGATGGTGGGGGAGATCTAAGGAGGGAATTATCAGATGACTCAAGAGAGCAGAGGTGTGGGGCTGGGGATTTAGCTCAGTGGCAATAAGCACCTGCCTTGCAAGCAGGCAAAAAAAAAAAAAAAAAAAAAAAGAGCGGAGGTGATCTTATATGTAAAGATCTTGCCCTGCAGTGTCTTAGTTTTAGTCTTTTTTTTTTTTTTTTTTTGGCTTTTTCATTTTTATTGGTACCAGGGATCGAACTCACGACTGCCTGCTTTCAAGGTAGGCGCTTATGCCGCTGAGCTAAATCCCCAGCTTCCATTAGTTTTAGTCTTAATGGGTGCAAAAGGATAGCCCATCCCTAGAAATAATGGGAAATCTATTATCGATAATCCTAAACCTCCATTCATCCCTTAGGGAAGTACACAAAATTAGCTATTGTGAATTTCCCAACTCCAAATCACATCATCCTTCATCAATTTTGCTTTTTAAATCACAAATCATACTTAGGATCTAACATTTAGAGTCAGATAACACACATTACTGAACAGCCCTGTAGTACTGCACATACTTAGTAGAACTGGCCCTCAAAACACCCTTTAGAAAACAGCCTGCCTACAACACCCCCAGGAGCCTGGCTTGACTAACATCTTTAACTTCCTAAAAAATGACTACAATTCCACATGTGTCCAGAAAAACAGCAATTGTGACCATGGGGCTACAGTGTGCACTGCTGGAGTGACTTCTTAGGATGGCCAGCCTTTGAGTCTGATTTCTCAGCTACTAGCTTTTGCAACTTTGGTCAAGTGACTTCACCAAGCCTTGGTTTCCCCTTCAGTATAGCAAGCAAGTGCAACAAGACCCTTGATCATAGCGCCGTCATGAAGCGAGATAGTCACAACAGTAAGATGTATGGAGCACTTATGGTCTCAAAAAGTTCCATGACTGCCTCATTTAACTCGGAAGGCTGTAAAGGTATTATCGCCCTAAGACAGATGTGCAGGCGGAGGAGTGAAGGCTGAAATTTGTCCGATTTCAAAAACTCCTGTGTTCTTGGGCCCTTCTCGCCTCTGCACTTTTTTTTTTTTTTAATTATTCCTTTCGAAAAGTAACACCTAGTCCTCTAAAGTATGTAGTGAGCGCAATGAACCCGATTTCCATTATAAATTATAACGCCTAAGAAAAACACATGGTCAACCTGACCTCCAAATAGCACTCGCGTACCTCCTGGAAAGACCGCAGGACCTTTATTTCCTAAGGCCAAGGGCGGCGCCTGCGCAGATTCCGTAGGAGGGAGGCGGGACCTGTAGGATGATGACACGGCTGCACACAGCGCGAGCGTGCGCGCTGACTCTGTGCGCGGGGGTGTGGCTTGTCCGGGCCGTGACCGCCCGGCGGAGTCGGCGTCTGCTCACACATCATGGTGGGGGGGCGGGACGCCGCGGCGACGCGGCTGACGTGGAGGGTGCGGGTTAGCGGGCGCGGCGGGCTCTGGGATTGGGGAGCGACGGTCCTGGCCGGGCCCCCGGGCCTGAGGCAGCGGCAGCGGCGGCGGTATAAAGCCGGCGGCGGGGAGCATGTAATGTCGGAATGCGGAGGCCGCGGCGGCGGCAACAGCAGCAGCGACGACGCCGAGGACGAGGGTGGCGGTGGCGGCAGCCCGGCGGGCTCCGGCTCCCTCACCCCGGCCCCGACGGGAGAGTCCTGGGCGGGCCGGCTCCGCCGCGGGCTGCGCTGCGCCTCCCTCATGGCGCGCCGGCGGCCAGAGCTGCTCTGCGGAGCCGTGGCGCTCGGCTGCGCGCTGCTTCTCGCCCTCAAGTTCACCTGCAGGTGAGGTGACTGGGACCCCGGTTCAGCCCTGTGTTTTCCGCCCGGGCCGCGACTCCTGGAGGGCTCCAACTTCGGGGTCGGGCCAAACCTTGCCTGGAGCGACCGGGTTGACCCTCCCCAAGCCTGCCTCCCACTTCCCGTTCCCGGCTAGCATGGCACCATCTGGCGAGGTTTCTTGGAGCCCCCCGCTCCGCTTCTGCCTGCTTTAGGACAGAGGGAAGTGGGCCCTGCTTTTGAGCTGTTAGACTCGGGGGTTGTGCCTGTCACTTCTGCTCCGGCTGTGGCACCCTGGGTTTTCATTTATTTCATTCCTTCTACTTCAGTGTAGTGATCCACAAACGTTAGCGGTTCCAGGCTCCTTTGGAAATCGTGGCATTCATTGATCTAATGATTATTTATCAGCATTCATTATGTGCCCAACACTCCTTAAATAAATCTAAGATCTTCGCGAGCAAGTGTATACTCCTGGGGTTGAACCGGCAATAAACAAACATTTTAAAAGGCTTTAGTAAGACATGGAAAGGAAAGGATGGGGGTGGAACTGAAAGGCCTTCCTAAGGAAATGAGATTTTAGGTTCAACCCAGAAGAGAAAAAGGCCAGTCCTGGGAAGTTTTTTTTTTTTTTTGGGGGGGGGGAGTGAGTGACCCCGGTAGAGGGAGCAAAGGTCAGGAGGTCAGGTGAGCTTGGTATTTTTAACCCCCTGGAACTGGAAAAAAGCCGTGACTAGTGAGCACGGTGAGCTGAAGAATGACGGTTAATGTGCCTTTTTAAAGGAAAATTTATCTATTTATTTTGATCTTTTGAGACACGGTCTTGCTGTGTACTTCAGGCTGACCTCAGACAGCAATCCTCCTGCTTCAGCCTCAGGAGTACTGAGATTACAGGTGTACCATGCCCAGCCAGATACAGAATTTAAATTTCAGGTGTGCTGGTTTTTTTGGGCCCGAAGTGTATCTTTTGAGAGTGCAGTTTATAAAATCTTGTCATTGATACAGCCTCTTGTCATGTCAGCCAACAGGGAGATTTCAACTCAGTACATTGACTTAGCACAGTATGTGGCCCCTCATATCAAAGATGTGTCAAAAGATTGGGAATTTGAGTGGAAAGAGATCAAATTACAGTAACTATCATTGGGCATTTGCTCTGTGTCAGGTAATATATTATCAGAGTTTCTGAGCACTGTTGCTATCTTGGGTAAGATAATTCTTTGTTGTAGGGAGCTGTCCTGTGCATCCTAGGATGTTCAGTACCGTCCCTTGCCTTTACCCAGTAGTGCACCAGGAATATCTCTAGACATTAACAAATGCCTGCTTGAGAACTGGTGATTGCCTGAACTCATTTATTAATTTAAAATGTTTGAGAGCCTAGCATGGATCTCATTTGAATTGTACAATACAATGTACAGTTTTGAGAAGTCAGAACCTGTCACACCTATAAGTGACTGAGCTGGATTTGAACTTTTCATTGTCAGGAATCATTGTCTTCCACAAAGAAAATACAGAAAGACAAGTTGGCATTTGGGTTCAATTTAGGGAGCAGTTTCCTCCTCCAAGGATGTAGAGCTTTTAAAAAAAAAAAAAAAATATATATATATATATATATATGCTTGTACAGCTCTCAAAGTTGGTTTTTGTTTTGTTTGTTGTCTTTTTAAGACAGGGTCTCACTGTGCAGCTCAGGCTGGCCTTGAGCTCACTTTGTAGCCTAGGCTGGTCTTGAATCCACAACAGTTCTCCTACGTCACTCTCCTGAGTGCTGGCATTACAGGCATGTGCCACCACACCTGACTGAAATTGTTTGTTCTGAGACAACATAACCTAATAGAAAAGTCCTTTGAGATTTCAGGAAGAAGGAGAAGTTTAAACGCAATTTCTAGAGCTGGCCAAACAAGGTCTTTACCTGGTGAGCCTATGAGTAGCTGCTTGCTTATCCATCTTCTTTCTATGCTAGTGGCAAATGTAACAGTCTTAGTAGACTCAGATAACTTTTTTAGATTTTATGATACAGTGATGTTATGATACTATTTTATTGATGTACAATTGATTATTTGTATCTTGTTTTCAAATCTTTAATAAGGACAGAGATTTACGAAAGAATAAATGGAGTCTTTAGAGTTGAGATTCTTAAAGTAATTTTTATTAATAGCTCTAGGGCCAAAATGAGCAACTTGTCCGTTTCATTAACTGTTGCTTAGCTAAGTGTAAACCAGGTAGTTTAAAAAGGTTGATTTCTGGTTAAGCCACAGTTAGTAATTTCTGGGTACTTAGTTTTTATTTACCTGCATTTCTGTTTATTAAATCTACACAACTTAATACTCTTTACTTCACCTTTTACCCTGATTTGAAGAGTAATATAATGGGTGTATGTATTAGATATAAATGTATACATGGGTTTTTATTATTTACTGTGCCTTACTACATTTTATTTATTTATTTATTTATTTATTTATTTATTTTGTCTTTTCCCTTTTTTATCGGTACCAGGGATCGAACTCACTACTGCCTGCTTGCAAGGCAGGCACTTACGCCGCTGAGCTAAATTCCCCAGCCCCTCAGGATATCTTTGACCTAGCAGTTTTTTTTTTTTTTTTTTCAGAAATGTGAAGTAATTTGAAGAGATTAAGTGGACACTGTTTCTATGGTTGTGTGTTTTATCAGTCTCCTTTGCTGTAGGAAATCCACCGAACCAGCAGGCAAAAATACCAAGTTGTTGGTTAGCCTCTGGAGCTGTCAGATTCCTAAATTTGTCTCCAGTTTAAAGTGTGCAGCTTGGGTGGCAGAAAAAGAGTTTCTCTGAAGAACAGAAATTTATATCTCTTTAAAATGTGTCACTCTTTTGCTGGAGAGCCTTCCCTGCCTCTCTGTTTTTTGTTTGTTTTTGAGACAGGGTCTTGGCATATAGTTTAGGGTGGCCTCATGATCCTCCTGCTTCGGCCTCCAGTATACTAGGATTTCAGGCCTGCACCACCACGTCAAACGTCCCACCTCTTTGAATTGCTGTGTTGTATTTACACAGGTGTCTGTTTTTGAGACAGTCTCCTTATATCTCTCAGGGTAATTTTGAACTCACTATAAACCCAGATGGGGTCTCAAGCTCCATCCTTCCTGCCTCAGCCTACGGAGTACTGGCATTAGAGGCATGTGCCACCACACCAGGCTCAAGTATCTGTTTAAATGATACATTCTCACCACCACGGGGTCAAAAGTACCCTGTTCATCTTACAACATTGTTAACTCTGAACACACTAATCAGAGTTTTGTGAGCTTTTATTGATAGTTGTTTACATGTTTGTTGGCTTGTCTTCCTTCCCTAGAAAATAAGCTTGACAGCATCTGCAATAGTGTCTGAGTCTGAAACATGACTAAAGCACGATAACAGTTTTTTGTGTGTGTCTTTTTTTCTTTTTATCAGTACCGGGGATCGAACTCACAACTGCCTGCTTGCAAGGCAGGCGCTTATGCTGCTGAGCTAAATCCCCAGCCCCTTGGTAACAGTTATTAAGGAAATATTTTTTTGAGTAATCATGGAAGTGATTATTTTTCAGATTTTGAAAATACTTTACATAAAGGCTGCATATAAATTGAAATATTAGCTTAAATGAAGAAATTTATTTTTGGAGACAGGATCTCACTAGGTAACCCAGGCTGGGTCTTCAATTTGCAGTGGTCCTCTATCCTCAGCCTTGAACCTTTGAATGCTGGGAGTATGCCACCATGCCTGGCTAAGACAGGATCTTATGTAGCAGACTGACTCTGAACTTTGGATTCTCCTGCCCCACCTTTCTAAGTGCTAGCAATATAGGGGAAATACAGTTCCCAACCTGCTAGGTGTCCAAAACGCCATGTTCTGTTGGAATGAATTCTATGAACAATGGAGGTTAAGAGTAGGAGCAGCTAATTGAGGGGAACCCCTCTAAGAGGGACAGAAGGAGGCCCAGGAAGTGGGTTATCCAGCAACCCCGCTCCTCAAGGATATTTATTAAGCAAAGCCACGAAGTGGACCAGAACTATAATCAATCAGTAAGATTACAAGGATAGTCACCTATTGATCCAGTGGAAAATCATAGGATGAATGTACGGTGGGACAAAACTGTGTTCAGCCAACAGGATTACAAGTGTGGTTGATTAATATTGATTAAATGGAGATCAAATGGGGAAACAAGTTACATAACAAGTGCACATGGGATAGACAAGGACTTTCCTGGAAGGGGGGTGGGTTTTAAGGACCTTTGGTCCTCCACCCTAAGGTGAATGGTGTCTGTTTGCAGTATTAATCACTGCTGTTCCTCCCTAGGGGAAGTATTTGGGTGAGTAGTTCTTCTTTTTCTTGAAGTCTGGCCTTCAGAAAATATGCCTCCAGTCACAGTTGTCTTCCAACCTTGACCTTTCAAAGCTCTGACCTCTGATTGTATTATTTCTACTAATTTCGCTATCTGTATTAGGATTACAGGTGTATGCCACCACCTTCAACTTTAAATTTCTGCTTTTATTTATTTATTTTTTGGCTATGCAGTTCAGGCTGACCTTGAGCTCACTTTGTAACCTTGGCTGGTCTCAAACTTGCAAACGATTCTCCCACCTCAGCTTCCCAAGTGGGATTGTTTTAGGGGAACAAAACTGCCAACCTATTATGTGTCCTGAACAAGTTCATGTTCTCTAAAATCGAAGAGTGAATTTTAGGAACAACAGAAGTTAAGAGCAGAAATATTTATTGAGAGAAAGAAAGGTTCTGTCTGAGGGAGAGACAGAAGGGGTCCCAAATGGGTTGCCAAAGGTTTTGTATTTTCTCGGGATTTTTATAGAGTAAAATCATGAGGTGGGGCCGGGGATTTAGCTCAGTGGCATAAGTGTCTGCCTGGCAAGCATGTGATGGAGAATTCAATCCCCAGTACCCAAAAAAAAGAAAGACAATGGAATAAAAAAATGAGGTGAGGTGAGTCTAAAGTGGGGAGAACTGGGAACTCACCAGGTAGATGGCATGAGGTGGGACAGAGTTATGGTCAAAGAGTAAGTTTAACTGTTGAGGTAAAATTGACCAAATCAGGGACAAATGGGGTAGCAAGTCACATAGCAAGCAAACATTCTTTATAGATCAGTGACTCTTTTGTTTTGCCTTCTAATTTGAGATCTGGCCCACAGCAAGAGGTGTGTGTTTCCTCCAAGATCACCAGCCATCTGGTCCTCTGTGCCAGCTTCTTCGAGGGCCTAGACCTGTCTGACTGCCTAATATTTCTGACGAGCTCAGCTTTCTGTAATGAGATTATAGGAGTGTGCCACCACACCTGGCTTTTTAAATTTTCTTTTTTTATTTTTTTTTAAATTTTCTTTTTTTAACACTTTTCCTCTGTTTTGGTATTTTATATTAATGTGCTCCCCTTTTTTTATTCTTTTTTTGGCTTTTTAAAGTTTTTGCTGTACTGAGTATTGAACCAAAGATCTTTGCACTGAGCTACATCCCCAGCCCTTTTTAAGATTTTTAAATTTTCAGACAGGGTCTTCTTGAATCGCTAATTGCCTAGGCTGGGCTCAAACTTATCCCCTTGCTTCATGTATGTATTCTTTTTTTTTTGGTCTTTTTTGAGATGGGGTCTCACTATGCAGTTCTGACTGGCCTTGAGCTCACTTTGTAGCCCAGGCTGGTCTCGAACTCGCATTGATCTCCCACCTCAGCCTTCTGAGTGCTGGGATTACAGGCATGAGCTACCACGTCCAGCCATGTATGTATTCTTTATTGTCAGTCTTTCTTTTCCACTCAGCATTTTTTTTTGTCCCGGGGAATTGAACTTACACCAGTATAATTATTTTGAGACTCATCCAAATTATAGTATGTTTGAGTTGGTCTTTTGTTTGTCTTGTTCACTAATTTTGGAGTAATAATTGTAAGACTTGGTGCCAGTGTATTTTTTTCATCTGATGAGTCATGCTAGCTTTCTTTTTTTCTTTATGCTAGCTTTCTTATCCTTACTGTTAATATGGTTTTATCTTTTCTCATTTTTATGCTTCTACCCAATGTCTTTATATTTAAAATACATCTCTTTTAGATAACTGTATGTTGGATTTTGCTCTATACTGGCAGCCTTTTCCTCTAGATTAGTTTGTTTAGTCCTTTTATATTTAATATTGATATGATTGCCATTAAATCTTTTGGCTGCTTTTTGCCATTTGTAGCTTCTGGGCTTTGTTCTTGTGTTGGACCTTTTTTACCATTTTGGGGTTAATCTGGCATTTTTTTAGGTTTTTTTTTTTAGGGTTCCATTTTTATATGCTCTGTTTCCTCGCTATATTGCTGTTTATATGCTCTGTTTCCTAGCTAAATTGCTGTTTAGAGCAGAAGATATATGGGTAGCTCAAAATATGTAGGTCCCTTAATGTGAGGGGGATAGTGCCTCAGCTACAACCTGTTTATTTGTTTGTTTGTTTGTTTGTTTTGTTTTGTTTTGGTGGTGGTTCTGGGGATTGAATTTATGATCTCAGGTTTGCCAGGCAGGTGCTTAGGCCACTGAGCTAAATTCCCAGCCCTGCAACCTGTTTTTGTCAGGGGGAGAGTGATGGCTAGTCTGTAGTGTTTGACCATTTGTTCAGTGTTTTCTTTCTCCTCCTGACTTCTTCCTTGTTTTTTTTTTTTTTTAAGTATATTCCTTTTTACTTAAGGACAGTGATTCGGGGACTCTTACTTTCTTATTCAAAAGAGGCTTTTTCTTTTAAACTTCTTCTCTTTCCACACAAAGAGGCCTGAGGTGTTCAGAGAAGCTCTTCTCCAGTAAAATAGGCTATTGTTTTGTTATGAGTCTGTCTTACTCTTTAGATTATGATACATTTGGAGAAATGTTAATACTTTTACCTGGATGCATTAGGTAAATATAGGCTAATTCTTTTTTTAAAATTTATTTTATTTATAAAATTTTATTTAAAGGAAGACTACACAAAACAGAAAATGGGTAGAAATAATACATACTTTTTTCGAGACAGGATCTCGCTATGCAGTTCAGGTTGGCCGTGAGCTCACTTTGTAGCCCAAACTGGTCTCGAACTTGCGAGGATCCTCCTGCCTCAGCCTCCCAAGTGCTGAAATTACAGGCGTGAGCCACCACCCCTGGCTTGAAATAATACATACTTTCAAAGAAAAAATAAATTGTCCTCTTACAAATAGTTGTTCAAGATAGAAAAGTGAAACCTATAAAGTGGGGATTCAAACAGTGAGACTACAAACAGTTCTGTTCAGCTATCCATTAAAAACTTAGTAATATGGTTATCAATCTTACATACTTAAACATACATGCAGTTATCCATATTTGTTCATTTCAGTACAGGCCAATTCTAACAAATTTTCTTTTTTCAAAGTTGAATCAATTAGATGCATCTCTTGGGGCTGGAGGTTTAGCTCAGCGGCATAAGTGCCTGCCTTGGAAGCAGGCAGTCGTGAGTTCGATCCCCAGTACCGATAAAAAGGTAAAAGACAAAAAAAAAAAAAAAACTATATGCATCTCTCATAAGAAGTCTTGCTAGTGCTGACATGTATGCTCCCTCCCCATACTTCTGAGTTCAGATAATGTTTCTAAAACCCCGGGGACCAGTGAGTTCTATGGAGAACCAGGCCACAGAGAGGTAGGGATGGAATCTTTGGAGTGTAGGCGGCAAAGCTCTGGACTACTCTTCCAGATACACTGGGGTAGGGAATACCAGAAAATCATTTCCAAAGTGTTATTTTGTCTGCAGACTTGGCCAGATTTGCCTTAGCAAAGTATATTCCTTTTTACTTCAGGACAGTGATTTGGGGACTCATTTTCTTATTCAAAAGAGGCCTTTTTTTAAAAACTTCATTCTCTTTCCACACAAAGTTGTTGTTAGAAGAAGATAAACTAAGCAATCTTGTTTGTGTTTGCTCTTTTTTAGTCGAGCAAAAGATGTGATAATACCTGCAAAACCACCTGTGAGCTTTTTCTCCTCGAAGTCTCCGGTCCTTGACCTCTTCCAGGGGCAGCTGGATTATGCAGAGCACATTCGCCGGGATTCGGAGGTGGTACTGCTGTTCTTCTATGCTCCATGGTGTGGCCAGTCCATCACTGTCAGGACAGAAATTGAGCAGGCAGCAAGCCAGCTTTCTGACCAGGTAATGCTGACTTTCAGCCTAAAAACTTAAAAGAGACACCTTCCTGAACTGACAGTTTTACAGGAGTACTTTGTCATTTTTAGGGCCTTTTGTAGAGAAAGGATTTCTGATTGTGCTGGTTACACTCAGAGACAAGAACAGGAACAAATTCTGCATCTTGAGATGTAGGCCAGTACTCATTCTGTGCTATGAAACTGTAGTTTCAGGAGTAGGGGACTAAAATCTAGTTCTTGCATTATATCCATTTGATATTTGGTAATTAGGTATTTTACATAGAAATTTGTGTATAATATGACTACTTTGTAACAAAACTGACCTTTTTAATGTATAAACCAAAATGTATAGCTCAACCACTGTTTAATGAATGCCACCTTTGGACTGTATGAGAGGATACATTGGTAAGTAAGTCGTCTGTTAGGGGAGTGGTTTTCAGCCCAGTGGATCCCATTTGCCATTGAGAAAATAAGTATTTTATGATGTCCTTTTTTTCAGTCCTCAAAAACAATTCCTAAGTGATAAAACTTCCCTACACATATAATTTTAAAATAGTTTAGTGCACTCTTCATTTTTAAAAGATGTGAGAAGAAAGGAAAGTAATATATAGCTAAATCTTTTAGTATTATTATTATTATTTTATTGTACTGGGGATCGAACTCAGAACTGTGCGCTTGCAAGGCAGGCGCTTACGCCGCTGAGCTAAATCCCCAGTTTATATATCTAAATCTTATATGTATTAGTAAGTAAATACTTGGACAAAGCAGGTCCTTCTACCTTTGTGTAGAATGGCCATGATGAGTAGGATAGTTACCAAAGCAAACTGATGAAGATATGTGTTGATTCTGGGTATAGTGGCAGATGCCTATAACCCCAGCATTTGGAAAGCGAGGCAGAAGGAAAGCTGAGGCACTACAAGTTTGAGACCAGCTTGGGCAGCATAATGAGTTGAAGGCCAGCCTGAACTCCTTAGCCAGACCCTGCTCAAAAAACCAAAAAAGATGTGTATAATCAGATAATTGATGAGGGCGTTATAATTATTTCCCAAAGCCCTTTCTACCCTCAGTTTAGACGGAAATTGTGTGCTTGACAGAGTCAGTGAACATAACAGCAGCCATGCTTAAGAGTCACATTGAAATGGAGTCAGGTTAGGATAGGACAAACAGATTTTAAGCCAACATTGGTGTTTGGCAGACCCTTAGAACTACTGTGAATAATAAGAGTGGCTTTCCCTGGAAAGAGCAGTTTCAAGCACTACAGAATGTCTGCCAGGGTCCCTACAAAGAACATTAATGCCTGGTTCCGGAAGAGATGGGGGAATGCATTTTGTGTTCTGTGTTCTTCTGGAATGTACCTATTCCTTTCCCTCACCTGCCACCTTAAAAATGACTAGTAATCACCAAGCTGGTAGATAATTTCAGAGAGGAAACAAAATTTCAGTGGAACACTGGGAGGCAAACAGTGTGTAAGCATGGAAGAAATCACTTTTGTCAGCTATTCCTCATTTCTGAATATACAAAATAAAGATCTCATGTGAGAACAAGAGGGGAATCTTATATTTCAGGTTAAGCGTAAATTAGTGTTATTTTGATCTCTGTTTAAGCAGTGTGTCTTCCTAGTGGTAACATTGGAATAATAGTAACAACAGTATTTCAGTGTGGTAGGCAGGGCTCATCCTCACAGCAACTCTGTACACTGATGCTTTTAGCCCTGCTTTTCTGAAGTGGAACCTCAGGCTTAGAAGAGGGGCTGAGCAGTTTGATAAAGATCCCAGGCTGGTCCAAGGAAATAGCTCAGTGGTATAAGTGCTTGCTGGTAAGCTCAAGGTCCTGAGTTTGATTCCTAGTACTAAAATTTTTTTTTAAAACATCCCAGGCTATAGGCAGTAGCTCATAGAAGTTCTGTTACTATTCACAGTCACTGATGATGCTTTTTTAAAAAAAAATTTCAATTCCTTCCAAGTCGAGAGTTTATTGTTGCATATATTTGCTCAGGATGGAAAAAGTTTATTTTTAGAAATAGGCAAAAAATCTTTTAAAGCATATTGCTTAGTAAAATTAGCAAAATGGTAGATTGTGGCCAATTTTTGAGTAAAAATGTGGGAGATGCCATCCCTGAGAAGAGGTATTTTTTTTCCTTAGTAGATTCTTTTAAAAGGAATTCTGAAAAGTTGCCACTAGATTTTGATTTATGTTGTTGTGTTAGTAGTATTTGAAGGCTGCTTTTTTTAAAATTGTAATTTGACTTCATTTTTTTTTTTTTTTTTGTCTTTTTCCTTTTTTTTTGGTCTTTTCCCTTTTTATTGGCACCAGGGATCGAACTCATGACTGCCTGCTTGCAAGGCAAGCGCTTATGCCCCTGAGCTAAATCCCCAGCCCCTTGACCTCATTTTTAAAGTAATTTATTATAAGAAATTTTGAACATACAGCAAAAGAGAAAAATTTATACATATACTCAAGGTTTAAAATCTCGGTAATTCTTCACTCCTCAATGCTGGTAATTGAATCAGGGCCTGCCTGGGTTCACATGGTAAGTAAGTTGTTTACTGCTGAGCCACATCCTTAGCATCCTCCCTCCCACCCCTCACCTTTTTAAAATTTTAAGACAGAATCTTACTAAAGATGCCCAGACTTGAACTTTCCATCTTCCTGCCTTAGTGTTCCCCATAGCTGGGACCATAGGTTAGTGCCCCTGTGTCTAGCATCTGTTGACTTTTCTTTATGCTTATTTTGTCATGTGTTGATGTAACCAGTCTTCTAATCCTAAGGGTCTCTGCTAGAGACTGTTTCCGCTGCCTCCATGCCCCCAGGATATTGGGGGGGGAGTACTGAGGATGGAACCTAGAGTCTTCACATTCAGCTGTGTTCCCAGCCCCCCACTTTCTTTCTAATTTTCTATTTCAAAATGAGGTTTTATTAAATTGGCTAGGCTGGCTTAAACTTGCCATCCTCCTACTTCAGCCTCCCAGAATGCTGGGAATGGCAGCACGTGTAACCACATTTGGCTGGAGACATTTTGGTAGTCACTACTTGAGGGAGTGTGCTTTTGGTTTCTGGTATCAATGCAGGGAAAGCTGTTAAATACTCTACACCATCCTACATGTATGCTTAGTACATTCTCTCATGACAAAACCCTTCTGTCCATTCAGCCTGCTGTGACAGTATTGCCAAAGTAGGGAAACTCTGCTCTAAGGCATACATTAATCCATCTTATTTTTGGTACATTTTAAAATAATTTGCAGACTTAGGGACATTTTTGCCTAAATACTTCAGCTACCTTAAAGATGAGAAAGAAGGAAAAAAAAGAAAGAAAGAAAGAAAGAAAGAAAGAAAGAGAAAAATATAGCCAAACACGGTGCACACCTGTAATTCTAGCACTCAGGAGGCTGAGGCAGGAGGATCCTTGCAAGTTTGAGACCAGCCTGGGCTACAAAGTGAGCTCAAGGCCAGCCTGAACTGCATAGTGAGGCCTTGTGTCAAAAAAGTACAAAACAAAAACAAAATAATTTAAAAAGATAAATATATGTAGAGAGACAAACAGAAGCTGACCCCCAAAAAACCTGTACACTTCAGCTGGTCACCATAGTAATAGATATCTGGAAGTGAATAGCCACCACTTTGAGTACCCCTTGTGTAGAGGCACACGGTAACTTGTATTAATCTGATGCTATCTCAGTAAATTTAGTATTAAAATATTTATACAGATTTTTTTTCTTGATAAATATTTTTCTTGGTGGACTGTATATTCCATGGTTTAGTGGTCAGTACTATCATAGTTTAAAACCATTGGTTATCTGTTTCAGTGTCTAAAATAGTCATTAAAAATAGTCCTTTGACATTTGTGCTGGGGGATCAAACCCAGGGCCTTGTGGATGTCATGAAAGCATTCTACCACTGGGCTATATCCTTACCCTTTTTTTTTTTTAAATATAGACCTTGCTAAGTTACCCAACCTGAGCTCCAATTTGTAATCTTCCCACCTCAGCTTCCTGAAATAGTTGGTATTATGGGGATGTCCAGCCATACCCATTGTGTGGTATCTTGCTTGCAATAACATTTTCTTTTTTTTTTTTGTCTTTTTGAGACAGGATCTCACTATGCAATTCAGGCTGGCCTTGGGCTCACTTTGTAGCCCAGGCTGGTCTCAAACTCACAACGATCCTCCTGCTCAGCCTCCCAAGTGCTGGGATTATAGGTATGAGCCACCACGCCCGGCTCTCAATAACATTTTCATATGCTGAGCTTGACAGTTGAAAGACATTACTTTCTGTTGTTAGGTTTTTAAGTGTGTGGTACTGCGGTCTGAACCGTATGTCCTCCTTGCTCTTGAAAGGCAAGCCTATATAGTTAGCCTCAAAGACATATCCTTCTAAGTGTTAGTGTGTTCATACTTAGAAAAGCTCCTTAGCATTCATTCACTTTAAAATTTCTTTTGTAAGGAGGTAATATAGGGGAGATTGAACCCAGGGCCTTCACACTAGACTACATCCCTAATCCTTTTTTATTTTTATTTTTAAGATAGGATTATACTAACTCATTAAGTTATCTAGTTTGGGTTCAGAGTTGTCATCCTCTTGCCTCAGCCTCCTAGAGTGCTAGAATTACAGATATTTAGCACCATTTCTGGCTTCATTTTTAAAATACAAAGCAAATAATGTTCCTGTAGGGCCAGAGTCTAAGTTCTAGTTGAATATTGAGAAGAATCTGTCTTTATTCTTGTGGCTTTTTGTGTGTTTTGTTTTGTTTTTAAAATAGTGATGACCTTTGAAACTTGAAACAGTTTTTTTTTATGTTTTTTTCGGTGAGCGAGGACTAGTTCCACTTTTATAATTTCATCATTTAAATTTTGGTAACTGTTCAGTTGCTATTCATAGTCATTTGAAAACCTTTTTTGGTTCTGCAGGTGTTGTTTGTGGCAATTAACTGTTGGTGGAACCAGGGGAAATGCAGAAAACAGAAACATTTCTTTTATTTTCCTGTAATACATCTGTATCATCGGAGGTAAGAACGTTTCAGTAGTGTTTCTAATTTCAGTAAAGTTCAACATATAAAAATCTGTTGTATTTGAAAGTATTAAATATTCACTGTAGAAAATTGAGAAAATACAGATAAGCAGAAAAAATAAAAAAAAGAACTTTGATTTAACTGTGTATAATTACTTTGTTTTGGTTTCTTTCCTTCTATGGGTGTCTGTCTCCTTTTTATAAGCAAAGGTTGATGGGCTGGGAATGTAGTCAGAAGCATAGTTTCTAACTGGCAAGCACAGGGCCCTGGGTTCGATTCCTGGTACCAAAAAACTAAAAACCCAAACCCTAAAATACACTAAAATGAAATACGGCAAAATAAAACAGCAAAGGATCTCAGATCAGGCAGGAATACTAGTTCCTAAATTGCTTTGTGACACTTTTGTAAATATTGTTTATGTCATTGTATATATTGCACCATTGTTATTGAAACTAAGAATTACTCCATGGAATGCCTATATATTTCAGATACTTAAAAAGTGTTTTACAATACAAAAATACACAAAATTCTTCATTCTGTACCTTGCAAACATCAAGTGGTCAAGAAGGATATAACATCTTTTCATTTGGGAAGAAACTTAACTACTGGTCTACAATTATCAAATTACAAAAAGACTAAAAAACTAGTTTCATAAATTTTGTCGGGGCTGGGGATTTAGCTCAGTGGCATAAGCGCCTGTCTTGCAAGTGTGTGGTTGTGAGTTCGATCCCCAGTACTGATAAAAAAGAAAAAGATAAAAAAAAAATTTGTGTCTTCGGATGAGTTCATCTGACCTGAGGGCACAAGAGGTTACCTACAGTATTTATCCTACTTAAGGTGCTTCTTTGGCTATGAAAGTACTGATTTTTGATATTGGAATACTGTATAGACTGTGGATGCCTGATGTGGATGTTAAGTCCTGCCTGAATCTGGCTTGAAGGCTTCTGGAGGCAGATGGAGTTTGGGCTTTGTTTAGTACAATTGGCCTTGAACACACGTTGATTTTCTTGCACTTGGCCTTAAGGTGCATATACCACCACAAGTAGCAAAATCTTTCCCTTTTTTTTTGGGTACTGGAAATCAAACTCAGGACCTTGAGCTTGTCAGGCAGGCACTGCAGCACTGAGCTAAATCCCTGGCCTAAGATCTTTACTTTTTAGACTTTTTTTTTTTGGGGGGGGGTTGTTGGGAATCAAACTCAGGACCTCATGCTTGCTGGGCAGGCACTGTGCCACTGAGCTAAATTCCCAACCCTTTTTAGAGTTTCTTTTTCCCTGCCTCTGAACTTCCTGGATTTTATAGCAAGCATCAGTATTCTGTCATTTATAAATATTCTGTCCCATTCTACCACACTCTTCTGTGATATTGTTTCCCAGAAATAATTGATAGTATTGGACCAAAGTGATATTACCCATTTTCTAGCTATTATCAATTTTTGCTTGGGGACTGTTATGATCACTTTTGACTTGGGTGCTATAGTACACACCTGTAATCCCACCTGCTCGGTAGGCTGAGGCAGAAGGATTTCAAATTTGGGGCCAGGTTGGGCAAATTAGCAAGAACCTATCTCAAAAAATTTGAAAAGGGTTGAGAATGCAGCTGAGTAAAAAGAGCACTCCTGGGTTCAATTCCTGAGACAAGCCAAAAACCTAAAAACAAGAACATTTTGGACCCTCCCACCCTACTTTTGGAGGTTCTGCCTCCACTTTGAAGGTTAAAGTACAGGTTTCTGTTCTTGTTTTTGTTTTTTTAACAATATAAGAATACTTTCACAGTAATTCTCAGGATTATGTTTTTCTTTTTGAAGAGAAGCATAAGGTGCTATACTTGAAAGTTAATGAGTCTTCTCTGGGAGGGATGATATCCTTGCCCTGTTGAGGCCTCTGCATTACTCTATGGCATTTGAAAAGTGCTCAGATGCTTACTAGTCCTTGCAAGCTGCCCACAGGTGGACTTGATGTGACATTAAAATCAGAACAGTTCCCTCGAAATGAGTACAAATGTTATTTTGAGATATGATATTGTCTTATATTGTTCCCTTCTCCCCAGCTTTTTAGAAAGATTGAAAGAACATGAAAGGAACTCAAGTAATACATAGTTCAAACCTCCTGTTTTGCAGAGGAAGAGTTTTACTTTTTGAGTCAGACTCCTTACTACTCATTTCAGCACTTGGCACTCTCATTGTGCCTAAAACAGTCTCAAGGCACAGAAGTTCCCAAAAGGTAGCTTTTTCATGTTTTATTTGACAAGCCTCCAGACCTTTTATATAGATACACACATGAATGTTTCTGTTAGCTGTCAGCTCTTAGAAACATAGGTTCTTCTGGTTATTAGTGCTCAAAGATGTGTTCATTGGGTCTCATTATTGAGCAGAGTACTGCTATTGGTTTTTTTGGTACGGGGGATTGAACTCATGACTTCATGCTTGCCAGGCAAGTGCTTATGCTGCTGAGCTAAATCCTCGGCTTATTGTATATTTCTGTCACTACTGTCGCTTGAGTTTGTTATACTGGCTTGTCTCATAGTAGCTACTTAAAGAAGCTAATAGGCTTTTCTGTTTTGGAAAAGCATGCGTCTTCAGTTTGTATTGACAAGTCCAAAGGAAGCTTATTATGGGTCTGAGGCCCCAGGGAGGTGGTTCTCAGAACCTTGTGTCAGAACTAGCTACACCAGGTCAGCATGTCCTGTGGTAATGGCTGTAATTTGTAGGTAAAATGTATCCCACATCCTGCTTTACAGGATTTTGTTAGCCTTTACAGGTCTTTAGGATACTTCCAAAGTCCCACCAGTGTAACTCAGCAAAGCCTGCTGGTTTGAGTAAATGAGACTTCTGGGCTGATTGACTCCTTTCTGTTAAAATGAGTTATCAGATCTGCTTTTTCATTTTTTTTCCTATAAGTTAAAAATTGTTGATTGGGAATACTGGTAATTTCTAAACTGAACTGATATTTGATGAAAGTTGAATTGATGGGATTCTTAGCTTTGTCTCCCAGCTGTGCATGTAGAATGCTGTTTTCACTCTCATACCATTGACATCATATTGTGAAATATACACTGAAGAATTGTTTATTTCAATATATGTGTGTGTGTGAATTTTTATACTTGTTATAGTATTGTGCTGTCTATGTTGATTTTAAGCCCAGTGTGAATTTTAAAGAATGGTAAAGGAGTTGCTGAATTTCACAAATTTTACATGCCTCCCCCACACTTTCATCAACCATCCAATTATATTTATCTGTATTGTGTGAGATTGAGAGAGCAGGTAAGAATTCAGGTTAGTTTAAGAGGAAATTGAATGGTGGTAGCATTACTTTGCAGTACTGGATCAAATTCCTGTGTCTCTAAGGAAAGAAAGGAAGAAAGGTCATTTATACTTTTCCCTGAACACATTTTTGCCTAGTTTTTTTGTTTTGTTTTGTTTTTGTTTTTGTTGTAGTAAAGCTTTAAATAGGTAGAAGGTTCATTCAGTGATCTCTTGTATAAATACCTATGGGAATGTTTGTTTATTTTTGTCTTTTTTTTTGGGTACGGGGAATCAAACTTAGGACCTTGCGCTAGCCAGGCAGGCGCTTATGCCACTGAGCTAATATCCCTGGTGCTTATTTTTGTCTTTTTGAGACGGGGATTCACTATTCAGTTCAGGATGGCATTAAACTAACTTTGTAGCTCAGGCTGGTTTTGAACCCACAGCAATCCTCCTGTTTCAGCCTCTTTAGTACTGGGATTACAGGCATGTGCCACCACACCCAGCCCCTATGGGAATATTTAATAACTACTTTTTAGTAAGCCAATGGCCAACTTCTCAAGTTGTTTCTTATGTCAGAATAACATACAAAAGAACTCAGTCTGCCTACCTGCCTTGAATTGTGAAAAGATCCTGACATCTTTTAGCATGTAGTCAGTTTCCAAGGCTGCCTTTTTTTGTTTTTATTTGTAAAGAAATATTGGAATTAACTTTTCCTTCAGAAAAATTTAGTTTGCAGTTGAATTAAGCTCATGGAAGAGTAACCAGCCACTTGTATCTCTCCTTACCTGAGGCTGATTCTTAGCCCTCCAGTCAATCCCCTGTGCGAAGCAAGCTGCTTACCTCTGTGTAAACCACTCAGATATGAAACCAAGCTATTTCATTTGTGATGTTGATTATTTTTGCTATATATTATAGGTTTAATGCATGATGGATTGTTTTTATTTTTTCTTTTCATTTTTTTGGTACTAGTTTTGGACCAATCGAGTATAAAGGCCCCATGAGTGCTGTTTACATTGAGAAGTTTGTCCGCCGAGTGATGAAACCACTTCTCTACATCCCATCTCAATCAGAATTACTAGATTTTCTCTCAAACTATGAGGTACCTGTGTTTCATGTCTTCTCTATTCCCAAGGCCTTTTATTGGGTTGTGCTGGATTGTAATAAGTTTTTAAACTTTTATTTTTAAATACTTTCTGAATTGCAGCAATTAAAAGGTCACATAATAAGTCCTGGTTTAAATACATTTTGAGATACTGATCTTCAGGATGGTTTGGCCAAGTGAGTTTTAAGAGAATATAAGACAATAGAATACTTGCACAGTTGTTTGTTCTAAAACAGGATCGGACTATGTAGTTCAGGCTGAACTTGAACTCACTATGTAGCCCAGGCTGGCCTTGAACGCAGAGCAATCCTCCTGCTAAAGCCTCCTAAGTGCTGGGATTGTAGGTGTGTGCCACTTTGCCCAGCTGTTTACATAGTACAGTCTTGCCTGTATTTTGTTTGGAAATTTTCATTGCACTTTACTTTGCGTCATAGTTAATTTTGAGTAAATGAGAATTTAACTTACATTACAGGTTTTAAAATTTACTAAGTTACCCTTTGCAGCTGTAAATTCCTAAGGATTTGATGCTTGCAATAAAATGTTATACCTGGTTTTTCTCATTTGTTGTAGTCTGGCTTCTTTTTTTTTTTTTTTTTTTTTTTTTGTCTTTTTGAGACAGGGTCACACTGCAGTTTAGGCTGGCCTTGAGCTCATTTTGTAGCCCAGGTTGGTCTCAAACTTGCAAAGATCCTCCTGTCTCAGCCTTCTGAGTTGCTGAGATTACAAAAGTGTAGCACCGTGACTGGTTTAGCTTCTTTTTAAAACTGGAATTGTGTTTCTCTCCCTTTTATTAAGTATGTAACTATTTGAAGATCTCATTTACAGAAAATTTCATATAACTTAGCTTCTCACTCTCAAAGTTTTTAACCTTTTCTAAATTATTTTATAAGCTCTCTAAATGCATATTCAGGGAAGTTTATTGAGAGACCAGGATGGAGATTACATAAACTTGAAAAATTATTAAAACAATAGTTCTACAAAAGCATTCATTTGGACATGGGTAAAATGATGCTTGGATAGAGTAAGTAAAATTGATACTTAAGTATAACAAAATCAAGAACATAAATATATGATAGAGATAGAAGCCATGTGAATCTAGACCTGACTAGCAGGCAGTTGAGATCCATGTGTAGATGGAAACTGTACCCTTCCTCCCATTTTTTTCTTTGTTTTTGTTTTTTTGAAACAAGGTCTTGTTATGTAATTTAGTCTGACTTTGAACTCACTGTGTAACCAGACTATTCTTGAACTCACATATATTTTCCTCTCTCAGCCTCTGGAGTGAGTGCTGGAATTACAGGCATGCACCACCATGCCTGGTTTGAATTTTACCTTTACTATGTGTATTTGGTGTTAATTTTTTCATCACATCAATTATAGCTTCTTTCATCTTAGAAACCCTATTTGTATGTTAACTGTTAGTGGATGCCTCAGCAATGTTTGGTAATATTTAATTGTTGAGTTTGTAGTTCTTAGATAAGCATCAGTGTTAATGTTCCTTACTCTTATGTGGATAAAGGATAGACTTCTATGCACCTTGAAGGTTCACCTTCCATTTTCTCTGGGTAGGCTAAGAGGAAGAGGAAGAGGGCTATACTAGGAGGCAGGGCATCCAGGCCTGGTTCCTTTGGAAGAACTAATGGATCTGTGATTTGAGGCAGGTTATTCACTTAGTGGCTATCAGGAGCCATGCCAGTGGTCTCTTAAGTGTGGTAATGTTGTAATCAGTGAAGGTCCCCTGGATACATGTTAGGTTGCAGGCAGTGTCACTGGAAGCAGTATAGCAAAATAGTGAAAAATTAGCCAGACATGAGGTCAAACTTAACTCTTACAATTTTGCATTTGTGTGGCCTCGGGCTAGTTTCTTTCTTTCTTTTTTTTTTTTTACTTCAAGTTGTAGCAACAGATCGCGCTAGTTTCTTAACCTTGTTTTTTGGGGGGAGTTGTTGATGTTATTGTTTGGGGATTTTTTGGTTTTGTTTGTTTTTGCTTTAGATTAAACCTGGGGCTTTACATATACTAGGCGAGCCCTGTGTCACTGAACTATATCCTCAGTCCCTACTGCCTCTTGTTTTTTGGTGCCAGGAATTGAACTTACAACCTTGCGCTTTGCCAGGCAAGCACTTGTGCTGCTGAGCTAAATCCCCAGCCCTATTTAGCCTTTTTAGCCTTTGTTTTTTTATCTGTAAAACAGGAAAGTGGAAGATGCCTAGGATGTAGTGCCAACTACTGAAAACTTGTTATCAGTAAGAATTGTATCATGAAAGCAATTCTGGATATTTAGGATTATTAAGAGAATTTTAAATGTTATAGTACTTAATAGACTTACTTAGATTTTTTAAAACTTTATTTTGTAATTAAGATGATTAAAAAATAATTTACCATATCTAATGTATCATTCTTCAAATGGGCTCTCTCAGGTTGTTTGTATTTTGCCTGGTTTTAATTGAAATCTCTTTTTATTCCTTTATTGTTTATTATTAATTATTTTGTAACACTGGGGATCGAACCAAGGATCTTGAGGATGCTAGGCATATTTTAAATTTTCTTTTTTTTTTTTTTTTTTTTGTACTGGGGATTGATTGAACTCAGAACCTTGCAGTTGCCAGGCTGACAGTTAAGCCTGCGGAGCTATGTCCCTTGCTAGTACTTTAAATTTTCATTTAAGCCCCTCTACAAGGGAAAGAAATAGAGGAGCTGCATAACAGAACTGTTATTCCAAAAACAATGGGAAAAAATTGAGATCTCTTTTAATAAGACTGAAAGTCAGCTTCACTGTTACTTTCAATTCTATCTCTGTGTGTCCAAAAAATTCTGTAGCAGTTTTCTGCATCAGTTTTTAGCAAAGATAATGTGGTAAGGGAGAAGGACTTAACCAGAATTCTAGAAGTGTGGATTTTAACTTGACATTAGCAAGTCTAATTTCTGAGTTTCTCTCAGATTTCTCATGTCTAAAATAGGAGAATTGATTTAGGTGTACTCTATTAACCATTCTGATGTCAGTGATATATAGAGATTGGAAAGAGACCAAAGTTTTGTAAGTTTCTGGTCAGTAAAGTCTTTTTCTTCTTTGATTTTTGAAACAGGGTCTCCCTGTGTTGAAACTCCTTCCTGGCTTAAGTGATCCTCAAGTAACTAGGGCTACAAGCTCACAGCATTGCACCCTTTTTAATTTATTGCCTTGGTGCACCTAAGGTCTTCAATGGTAGAACCAATAGGAGAGAGCTATGCACATTTGTGGCTGAGCTGCAAAGCCGGGCCCTTATCTTTATTCTTTGTATCTTTGGAATCTGCTTCTCAGCAGTACTTTCAGAAATCATATTCCATGTATTGATATAGAGTTCACATCAGACTCACTGATACGCTGATGACCTTACTCATGCTTGGTTGGATTAAAAAGAAGTACAACAGGGATTATATTGCCTTTAAACAGGAGCCACACTACACACAGTGGGCACATGCCTGTAACCTCAGCTATTCAGGAGGCTGACTTGAGAGGCAGAAGCAGGAGGATTGCTGCGCAAGTTTGAGGCAGCCTGGGCTATATAGAGGGACTGTCTCAAAAAAATTGAAAAAAGAGACCGAGGCAAGAGATTAAGTTCAAGGCCATTCTGGGCAATTTAGACCCAATCTTAAATTTTTAAAAGGAGATGAGGATATAGCAAAGCACTCCCTTGAGTCAATCCTCAGTACTGCCCCCACCACCAAAAGAACCCTGAAAACAACTTCCAGAAAAAAAAAAAAAACTTCCAGGAACCAAAAAACTGCTGATAAGTTGGGACCCCCATTTTACTGTCTTGTGTCTGCCTTTCAAATGCTTTGCTTTTCACCAGAGGTATGGATAGCTTCATTACGTTAATATTTATCCTTTCCTGAGCTCAGTAGGCTGAAATAGTCTATGATATCAACAGAGAATACCGGATTGATTGTAAAATGACTAGAGTCAAGCTCAGTGTTGTACTTCTGCTGTTTTGTTTTGTTTGTACTGGGGATGGAACTCATGACCTCACACTTACCAGGTAAGTGCTTGAGCCAGCTGAGCTAAATCCCTGATCCATTTTTTTTTTTTTTTTTTTTTTTTTTAGTGTAGTACTTCTGAATCATTTATGTTATGAAAGAAGCTGTGTTAAATTTATACATGTTTTTTGTTTTTTGTTTTGGTACTGTGGATCGAACTTATGACCTCGTGCTTGTCAGGCAGAAGCCTAAACCACTGAGCTAAATCCCCAGCCCTGTACATGTTTTGTAAAGTGACATAACGACAAAATTCCAGATCCAGAAATGAAACCACTTTCCTGATTTTGATAGTTGAAGGTACAGAAGTTAAAGTAGGTTTTAGAACCCAAAATAATAGTATAGTAAGCTTTTTCCATTGAGTCATTGTCTCACTACATTGTTCAGGCTGGCCTTGAATTCACTATGTAGCTCATGCAGACCTCGAACTCCTGGTCATCCTCTTGCCTCAGTCTCCTGTGTGCTGGAAGTACAGATGTACACGGCCATGCCAGACTGAATATAGTGTGTTCTTGGATATTCTGCTAAGTTAGGGTTTCTCACCTTGGCACTGATGTTTGGTATTTGGGGTCAATTAACTGTTGCAGGGGGTGGTTCTGTGTTTTACGGGATATTTATCTGTATTGGTGACTTTACCCCCTAGATGCCAGTAGCATTGCTTTCTCTCCCAGTTGTGGCAATCAAAAATGTCTCCAGATATTGACAAATATTCCTGACAGAACTGCCCCCAATTGAGAGTTACTGTTCTAAATGATTCAGTTTCCCCAGTTAAGGTCTTAAGATAAAGTATCACAGGTGTTAGTACAAACATGTCTTTTTTTATGTGACACACAGAAAACCATAATTTAATAGTTAAAAGTTTATCTGATTATAATGATAGCAGTAGAGAGAAGATGAGAGTTAAAACGGTGTCTTGAGTAGAGAATTCTGGAATGTGAAAGATTAGAGTCAGGGATTGAGTTAGATTGTCACTAATACTTGAC